AAAAAACCAGATGAAAACATGAAAATACAATCTACCACAAAGTGGTTTGTTTGTTGCATTTTCATGTTTTTTTGCCCGGTGCCCTTGATGCAAAATACAAATCAGCCTTCATAAAATTTCTTCTTATGTTGGTCACAGGTTAATGAGTTCTGGTCAAGCTCAAAGTTTTTCTCATCCTATGACTGCATATAAGCATGAGTTCAATTCCTATGCTCTGTAACATAAGAAATTCACGAACACAAATCGATATAGTGGGGAAATATGTTGTGGTTTAGAACTGTTTCATTATTAAAGAGAAAATGTGTAGCAGGACGGATAGCTCAGTTTGATCTTCTGAAAGTCATGGGTTTGAGTCATGGTCAGGCAGTTTCAGTCAGGGTTTAGAAGTGGTTTTCAATTGACACATGTTTGATTCATTTAACAGATTGCATTATTTGAAAATGGACAAAGGCAGTATTGCATGATACTTTTAGATCTACAAAGGGCATTTGATACAGTTGAACACACTATCCTGCACATGAAAGAAGTTGTTTTTCTTCTTCTTCATGAAACTTCAAGCATCTGCCATATATAATGACATTCTTACATGGTTTAAGTCTTATCTCTGATAGTAGCTGGTTGATGTGGCTGGTACTTATTCTACTACTGCTCTGAGTACCTATGCTGTCCCCCTGATGTTCATTTTAGGTCCTCTTTTATGTCTAATATATGTCAATTACATGTCTTCAACCCTAAGCAATAAGCTTTTATTATAATGCACAGGCACGAGTATCAGACCTTGGATGAAAAAATATGGCCAGATTGATAAAAAAACCTGTGTTCATCTTAAAAGTGTCAACAACCAAAATAAAAATGTAAATAATGACCCCTTAAAAAATATACTTCAAGTTGAAAGTATATTTTTAAAGGGGATCATTATTTACATTTTTTGTTTTGGTTTTTATAAACACAGTTTTTTTTTTATCAATCTGGTCATCTGGTCATATTTTTTCTTCCAGGTCCGATACTCGTGCCAGTGATTATATGCTGATGACTCAGGAATCCTTGTGTCTCATAAATTAAATCTGAAGAAAATTCTTTCTTATAACATGAGTCTTATAAGATTGCTTAATTGACTATAAATTGCCTTTGCATCTTGGCAAAGACAGAGTCTATTCTTTTTTGGTTTAAGTTTCAACTTAACCTGGCCCTAGCCTCCAGGTCACATGTAATGGTACTGCTATAAAGTACACATCTTTTGTTAAGTATTTAGGTGCAAATCTGGATCAAATTCTTTTGGCGTCGCCCTTTGATGCTTTGCATCAATGCTTTTCTTGTTAAGATATCGACTGTTAAAGGGACGTATTCGCCATTTGCGTTAGGTTCTGAATGACCGTGGTCAACGGGAGATAAGCCAATTTGTTTTCACTTTCTTTCTAACTTGTTTTTCTTGTGTGAATGTATAAAACTTGGCAAAATGTTCAACGTTGATTATTTTGGTGATTTGTCTGAGATATACTTCCTTACGTATCCATGATGACAGATATATTATGTTAGCAGTGAATAAAAATGTCTTATTTTATATTATTGATTATGACACGTTATTGTGTGGCAAAGTTATTCGGAGAAATCCTGAAGCTGTAATTGTTATATTAATCAAAACCAAACTAAGGCGACGTACATTTTACTGTCTTAAATTTATTAATATTTGTTGTTTACTACGAATATATTTTGATAGAGAAGCAAATAAACAAACAAATGCAAATAAATTAACTTTATTTTGGAACAAAAAAATAAAAATGATTAACAGAAAGAGCTATTGTCAATATGTACGAAACTATTGGACCTACTTTCAAATGATAAGAAATGCTAAAAAGAACATTTTATCTTATGGAATAAGCAACAATCTAGTTAGCTTTATTGTAGGTTAAATAAATTTAAGATAAGACAATTATTGACTAGTAAGACACGACTATGGCAAATTTTAGAATTTATGCAGGTTTTCTGATTTATTTATTCATTTTAGTTTTGTAGGTTTGCTATTAATATTAATTTAATTTAAGTGATTACATCTAATATATTTTATTATGACACAAATTTAGATATTTCGCGAGAAAGACATGTTTTATATTTAAATCAAATTAAATGCTACATCTTTGCCGTGAAGACTCGATACATTTCTTATACAGGATTCATTTCTATAATATTATCATTGCTGCTGCTGCTGTTGTTGTTGTTGCTCTCGTTATTGTTGTACAAAAATTGAGCTACCAACAGTATAGAGCCTGGTCAGACCGCGCGGTTGTGTGAAAATAAAAAAAAATCACTTTTAGTTCCAGAGAGGTAAATACATTCAGACAAAAAATATATAATTACACCTTTACACCTTACTTGGTATGAAAACAAAAACTCATTCTCAAACTACAGCAACAGCTTCCGGTTAGCTCAATAGGTAGAGAGTTGGACTGTGAGTTCAATTCCCTGACGGTGCACGTCACTTTCGTTGTGATTGGTCATTAAGATCCTTTCGACCGTCATTTAAACTTTACCTCTGCTCTGGCATGTACCGAAGTTATCATCAGTTCCGGGAACTAGTACTGGTAAACTGCTTGACAGCCTACCCAGGAACGATGCAGTTTCTGGACTTTGCTCTGGCAAATTAAATGTGGACTTCTGTCATGATCCAGAGCTAAAACTACATGTACCAACACCACCACCATTGCAAACTATAACTTTAAATTGCAAACATATAAATTCACGTACAGGACGGACATATGTTGCTATAATTGTTTAACTACATTTCAGATGGTTTGATATGTCTTTCCACAGTGCTTCTTCCGATGCTTATGATACCGGAGCATGTTGGTAGGTTAAACTTTAATAAAAATATTCAGTAGTAGTGGCAGTAGCAGTAATTTTGAAAATAGTACGTTTTTATTATCTGTAAATTAATTTCTGCTTATTTTCCAATTAAGAGTTTTCTCTTTCTTGAAGGTATTGAAATCATTTTTATACAACTTCAAATTTCACCATTTTATATTTGAATGTTGATATCTGCTTAAGCCGGTGCTAGGGAGCGTGAACCATTGGGTTGTATTTACCACTTCCGTCTATAAACAGACTTTAGGGTATTTTAAACGGTTTAAGTATAAAGCATATTTTGCCAGAAACGTAAGGATACACAGAATGTAAAATTGTCATGCTTATTTGTATGGTATTTTTGTATTTTCTAGGGGCCCTTGAGTGTTTTGACTGTGTGAACATTACTGAATACAACAAATGTAATAAAACAAAAATTTGCAATGATAACGAGGTAGGTTGTTCATAATCAGAAATAGTTCAAACTATAAAATGAAATAAAATAAATACAATTTATACAATAATTATTTGATATTACCATTGTATTTTATACTCGCATTCTTTCCATCATTAACACGATGAGAAATTAGTTGTTCTATAATTCCGTGGTAAACTCACAAATTAAAATGATAATAATATCGGAATATAGGAAATAGAGCAATATTTTTATTTACTTCACATAAAAAGATACGCTATGAAATGTTATAATCATATTGATAAAGTACAATGATATTGTCCGTTAGTGGATGCAGTATGTCAGAAATCAGCCATCATATTGAGTATTATACTTATTTGCACCATCAAAGTGTAAACATATGATATGCATTGAATAATTAATTTCTGTTCATTTCATAGTCTTGCTACAAAGAGTCAACAATATCTGGACAAACCAAGGTCATGACTTTAGGATGCACAGATAATATGGTAATGATATTATGTATGCTATGAAAAAAATTAACTTAAATTATGCATATGAACATGTAGTTTGGAATTTTAGTAAAATTTTAATCTAAATTTTATCTGCCGAACTTAGCTCTATATACGCGAGTTTTCTTCACAGCAGAATTTGTGTCATAATATAATGCCTTATTGTTCTTAGAAATGTGCTTTTGATCATAGAATGGCGAACAACTTAAGGTGTGTGTTGCCCGGCAGTTAACTCATGCCTGGTACATTACAGTAAATGATTATTTTAGCATTGCAGGTTTCATGCAAGCTCTGCAGGTAGTTTAGTTGGCCGAGACATTGACAAAAGACAAGACAACCGTTGTTATGAATGTTGCGCTACGGATCACTGCAATGAGTTACTGTGCTCTCATCGAAAACGTAGGTTAATCAAAGCGATACGCCTCATCCAGAACAACAAATATTGTTTTACAAAAAAGTCAAACTTAAAACAGCTGCTAAGACATAAATGTACAAGTATCAACAATTTGTGGTTATTTTGCCAAAAAAAGGCTTGCTCTGACAGCAATAATTGTCTAAGGCTACCTAAATTTAGTTGATTTGTTCACTTGACAATGATACCTCATGGAACTCTTAAAAGAATAAACACAAATTGGGCTGTAATTTGATAGAAATTAATGCTTTATAATCATGAAGCCGCTTGATAACAGAACGTGTTTGAGAATGATTCTTAATATATTCATATATGTGAACAATTGGAAATGATTTTACACATTTGAGGTAAACAGATCTATGTTTGGTAAAAGTTAACAGCAAATTTTATTAATTTCTTTGATACTTTATCTCCTATTACACTTTTAACATTTTAAATGGTAATTAAATGATAAATAGATTATTATATGTTTCAAGGGTGATTGTCAGGAAAAAGAATGAGATGTAATACATAGATATTACTGTTCTATGATAGGAACATAAGGCCTCAGAAACATATAATTTTTTCATTCTGTAGAAATACAAAAATAAAAATAAGTTTTTGTAGCATTTAAATAATGGATATAGATCGAGCGTGTTAGATGCTTATCATTTGCATAAAGTAACACTGAAAAGTAGCAAAATGAAAACAAGGTAGTATTTTGATTTCCATACAAAATACTAAATCACTATAAATGTACGTATTACCAAGAAGCAAAAGAAGGTTGAGGTATATAGCCCCTAATTACTGTAACAAGGCACCAAAAATGAAAAGAATTTGAAAAATAGGCATAAAAGCACTGTGGGGCATAATGGGCCTTTATTTATGCATACATTGACATTTCAGCGACCCAGTGCATTGATGACGAGACAGTAGATTGTCCAAAAATGGAGTCAATATTTGGAGTATGTAGGGACGTTTCTCGTGCAAAATTGTTGTGTCCGAAATTTTGTGGACTCTGTGATGTTGGTATGCATTTTCATCTTCTATAATAGTTTTTGATCGGGTACAATGCAATCAACGCATCTATTGTTTTGGACATAAAGTTTATTTTAATAACATTTTCGGTTATTTCATTAAAATGCTCATAGATTTTATAGATTCTACTTTTTTAGTTGTTTTTAACAAAGTTCTTTACAAGTATTATACAAATATTTGCAATTTAATGATTTACCAATTGATAGAAAACCTATCGGTGATACAATTGAGATTCTTTAAACATTTAATGGCGTCAATACTTGTCAAAGGGCAGGACGTGAAGTGGTTGCACACTTGATTCAAAGCCATGAAAAGCAAGTCAAATAGCACAATCGTATGAAATTGTCAAGGAAATTTCTTTTATAAATATGATTGAGCTTCGTTGAATCCTGACTAAAAAATAATAAGAATAAGTTTGCGACCAGAAATGCTTGAAGTACAAGTTTACAACTAAAATGCGCTTGAATAAGATGTGTTTGTGTAATAAAAGTTTATTTGGAATATGCAATTTTAAACATTTACACAGTATTGACAGAAACATATTTTGTCATGTTTGGTGAACTTCAAAACTTAAAGATGTGAATAAATGAGTAGAAAATCCGTCCAGACTTGTCACCAGTCAAACCGCAAAATATGTACATGACCAGTTTATATCTTCAATAACTTCGACATATCAAACCCACTTCCTGAAGAAAATACGTGCGAGTCTTGTTAATATTTTGACTCGATAGCTATTTTGTCAAGTTTGCAACCAATTTTCTCGCTTGAACCAAGTGTGCCTGCCCCTTGCTTGTATGATATTCACACAAAGGGTAATGTTATTTTGTTCATATTGCTAGGTATGTAAGACGACAAAAATTCTCAATCTTTACTCATCATTTATTTTGAATATTGAAGTTGATGGTGAGTGGGCGGATTGGACACAGTGGTCCGTATGCAGTGTTACATGTGAAGTCGGAAAACAGGTACGATCTAGAACCTGTTCAAAACCATCACCTGCGCACGGTGGTCAAGATTGTATCGGAAATAAAACAGAAGCCAAGGGCTGTCAGAAACAACTTTGTCCAGGTATTGTATTATAACTTTTTTCGAGGATTTAAAAGTTCTAAACGTATGGATTTGTTAACACGTCTTTATAATTATGTTTTATATTTATAACGCCAGCAAGAATAACATTTCTGACTGTTAAGCCACCATGGGGCCTACTAGTATTATCAAATCCTACATTTCGGCAGTTCATGGAAATTGGAGTGTGTGGTCACAGTGGGGTACCTGTTCTGTCACATGTGATATTGGTGTTCAAACTCGCCGAAGAACCTGCACAAATCCATCACCTCAAAGATTTGGAGACCATTGTTTTGGGGTGAATATGGACATTCAGCTTTGCAGGCCCTTAGCATGCAATGGTAACATTTTTACTATTACAAAATTACTCCTTCTCTGTAACATTTAGTTATAATTTTTACTGGTTCAATTACAGTTACTTAAAATCAATACAATTCTATACACATTGAACTATTCTAAACATTTTGTCACAAGTCCAGCGTTTAATTTGCTTCCCTCTAATATTTACAGGATAAACAAAATAGTTTGTGAACGTTCGAGCATTATTTTAAACTGAAACGTGTACCTTATTAGAAACAATTATCTCTTAATCCAATTGATAAGCCATTTACCTATGCCAATGAGCACACCCGTGCAGATTTTATAACGCTAGTTACTTAGTTGTAGTTTTGTGGGGTTTTGTGTTGTTGTTTTGTGTTGTTGTTGTTGTTCTCTTCCGATGAACAAATTTATTTGTCTTAGATGGTGGATGGACAAACTGGGAACATTGGGGTAGCTGCAGTGTAACGTGTGGTGATGGTTTTCATACAAGGTCAAGGTCATGTACAAATCCTAAACCATCAGTAATTGGACAATATTGTGTCGGGAAATCATTTGATGTTGAACAGTGCAGTAACGCTGTTTGTAAAGGTATTGCTACTGATTTCTTTTTAACTCACATGATCCAAACAAGTTCGTCATCCGTCGTTATTCAGTTTCTAAAAAACACCTCTTTTTTTAACAAAACCCTATCACTTAATTTTCATAGACTATACAGAAAGACACTGTCCTAGAAAATAGTTACTTGAATTGATCTCATGTGAGCGAGCAAGGACCATAGTGGTTGTCTTGTCTTTTTTCTTTAGTTCTCGTTCAAATAAACAGCCAATTAAGAAGAAAGAAAATAAGTAACAACAGTATTAGTTCATGTTTACATGAATTGTTAAGTATATTTAGACATTTTTCTTACCTTAATCGGTTCTTTAAGTTCGTTGTTGTTGTTGTCGTCATTATGAAAATGAATCAAAGTAATACTTTTCTCATCCAACACCAAATAGCCTCATTTCATTAGTGTGTATTTTAATTTGTAAATGCCATCTGTTTAATAAAAACCATACTTTTACTTCCAGAAAATAAAGCAGTGTCATTTTTGTCAGCTTTGAACGATACGCATACTTACCAACCTGGTGATAAAGTTATATTTGATGTCGTCAAAGTTAATCAAGGTTCGGCTTACAATGCTACAAATGGAACCTTTACAGCACCGAGAAATGGAATGTACCAGTTTAGCTTAACTTTGACTAGTCAGCCAAACCAGAATTATTCTATCATGCTTGTTAAAAACCAGCATACAAATGAATTTTGTTACTTATATACCGAAAACGAAAACCACTGGCAACAGTCAAGTACTTCCAGTATAGTCCAGTTAAATGCTGGAGATAGAGTCTGGGTTGTCAGTTTGAGATATAGCCAAATATATGGTCATCGTATACATGATTATTTGTTAGCATATAATTCAGTTTTTTCTGGTTTCTACATCGGCGGATACTAATCAGTATAAAAATAATCAAAGGGTTTTATTTTGAAACATTAAATGACAACACGAGGTAAAGAATATTTCCACTGTATTAATCAATTCAAAAAAATCCTCTCACACAGTACGTGTTTCTTTTATCTTACTGTCACCCGGAATCATAATAATTGAAGAAATCTGTTGAATATTTAACTTAACGTATTTCTATCCCTTTGCCACTGTTTTCTGTGAATGAAGTTGACACGAGTTTCAATAGTGTAACTTGGAAGGGACAAATTTAGTTCAGAAATTGTATCATCATTATTAAACATTCCTTATCATAGCAAAGAAAAAATAATACAAGAGACACGCGATTCTATGTTGTGAGAATAATACATTTTCATTGCAAATTTATTTACAACTTTCAACTTATAACAGTAACTATATATCGCCTGTTTAATGTCAATGTATTCAGTTAACCGATAATTCTAATTTTTGGTGGGGGAGGGGAGTGGGCATTAGTCAACAATGCCAAATGATGACGGAGTGACTTTTGTCCTATCCGAAAAGTTTATCAGGAACTTTTGTCCGCCTTGTTACTTTTATGAGTCAGAATTTTTTACAGCATTTCTGCAGCACTGCTACAGTTTTACAAGCAGTGCAAATCACATATGTATATTACGGTTAACAATAGTAACAGTACAAGCATTCTTTGAATGTAATACCAGAAATACTTAAAATAAATACTTGCTCTTCTTTTAATGCTACTTTTTGTGGGTTGTATTGGTGTAGGAGACTTCGGATTAAAATCGCGGCGTTTGGTCCTCACATGTACGCCAGCTTCCAATTACCACTGCAAAATTGTTCACTGTTTGATTAAGTCACAACTTAGCGATTCGATTATCAAGGTGACGTTATACCAGGCATTTAAATTCCAAATATCCATGCGATTGACGATATCTTATTCATTATACATGTATATGAACCTGCATGTGGAAAAAAGTGTTTTCTTCTGTGCAATTTTTATAACAGTAACCCACAAAAACATCTGTCAAACTCTTTTTGCAATGTCTTTCTTCCTTAGTAACATAACCAATAATATATTGTCATTTCTCACATTTTGTGTGTACGAAAATACAATAAAATTTTTATAGCTGGTTGGCATTTATCATTTAACAATTTGCTGTGAAACTGACAAGACACACTACTGGGCCCATGGATGCAGGTCATTGACCATGAAGGTATATTCATATATTTATCAATTATTTTTGTGATGATATACAATTTCAGACAAGTTTCGTTTAAGTAGTACACATAGTAAATCATATCTCGTGTTGCACAATAAACATTCATATAGCAAAATGTCTCGTTCAAAAAAAAATCTTATTTCAGGAAATAAGATTTAACATGTATGAAACTGACTTGATACTCACATTATTTATTTGATGAAAACTACATAGTTTATGACTTAGAAAAATGTGTTCATATTTTGACTGGTTATGGTTTCTCATTTAAGTCAACACCTGCCTGAAGGTGTGCTCCGTTAAGATGTGAAATTAAGAGAATTCACAGGGAATATGCAATATAGCTAGAGAATAACTTAAATTGCACATAATTTGAATGTAACCTTAATTTTCTAATGAAAGCGAATACGATTCTAAAGGACAAACTATTTACTTAACAACCTTGAATCTGGCACTGTGCATATTTCACTTATTTTATTAACTCTACCCTCAACACTTGAAGGAAGTTTTAAATTGAACACGTACAACACAACTTATAGATATGATCAAGGTCGCTTAAATAGAATTTTGTTTGAAAGACCCTAATAAGATGTACAATAAAAAAATACAACACTTGCATTTCAGATTGTGTTTCTATAATTAAATGACAATGTTTTCTTTCTAAACATTTCTCTCAAAATGTATCCCTTGCATAATATAGACACAATGTGTTATAATTGTTGGATTAACAAACAAAATATATTGTTTTCGAGGTAGACAAAAGGTTTGTTTTTGGATAGTAAGGAGGGACATTTTAAGAAATAACTTTACACTTGTGCAAATCAATGGAAAAATACAAAGCATGGTCATCTAAGCCTGTTGTAAGTTCTGGTTTAGCTGATTTTCAACTTATCAAATACATTATTACTATCATTAATTTACATGTATGTTTTTCAATTAGATTCTAGTAAATGCATTTTTACACTAAATAAACTTTACCAGTTATATCAAGGTCCTTTATAAGTGTTATGCTAGTGTTATACTATCAAGACCTGAAGTAACTCTTGAACGGTCCTTCGCGTCATCTTGTTGATCACACAGAACATATAATTTTAATCACTAGAATTGCATGTTTTTTTGTTTGTTTGTTTTGTTTTTGTTTTTTGTTGTTTTTTTTTGTTTGTTTATTAATGCATTTTGTTGCAGTAAATATACTATGCAAGTAATATCAAGGTCCTAACTATTTTATACGGGGAAGTCAAAGACCGGGCCCGCGAAGCGGGTCCGGGCTTTGGCTTGCCCGGCTATAGACTACACGTGAATATTATGTTATAGAGTCATACTACCAATATCAAAGTCTTCAGTGCCTCCTTAGCAATCCTTTGTTTCGTCTCGGTACAATCTTTCTATACCTCTAATATTATTGTATTATTACATTTAAGTGTACTTGTGCGTGCTAAGCAATGTGTAGGACATTGCATGCAGTGTTTAGAATTTCAGTGCATATTGTAACCTTGGTACAGAATAAGCCTAATGTTATAAAGATTCCTTGACACTTTTCACTAGAAAGTAAACAACAAATGAAACTTATGGTACAAAACTTGTCATAAGCTATAACATATAGGTATTTTCTGCTGTATTGCACAAGTAGACAACAATATATTCAGTCAAAATCAATTTAAATAGACCAAACGTAGACCATATGTCGGTCATTTTGAAAACAATGTGCCATCATTTAAATCGCAGTAATGGTGTTACATTTTAGTTTTTTCATGTTTCGGTTAAAATTTCTACATGTTTTTTTTTTTGCTTGATTTTAAATATTAAAATTATCTTTACTTTATGACTCAAAATTTACTTTTTCAACAACCAAACATTTAGAAAATGATGATTGTTTCCGACATACGCACAAATTTAATGAACTATTGTTGCTTTTTGCAGAAATTTGTAAAATGTTCTGTTTTACGTAAATATCTTAAAATTAATATTAAATATATATATCAATGTCCCAGGTTTTATTAATTTTTAATAAACTTTTTACGTCTTAATGAAAAAGAAATGAAGAATCAAAAATATTGTGCACAATTGCTTTTCTTTCGGTTCTTAAAACGAAGAAAACCAGTCGGAATCAGGAAGTGAACTTGACTACGCAAACAAAGGTAAACATTATCAATTTTATGATTGATAAAGGGTACATGCATTTGATACACAGTGCATTGCAACAAACAAGATCGCTTTTGATTAAAGCTTCCATTTACAGCCGTATATAAGGTCCAAAATATTTAATTGAACGGGTGATTTAAATGCATTTTTCCGGATAGTATGTGAATTCGGATAAAATATATTTTTTCTGATTAACAAGCTTGTCATTTGTATGATTAACAACCTTGTCATTTTTAACACAACATTAATTTATTGAGATGTTACTTCCTATATGCTTAAATTGTTTTCTAACGTACTGTCACTTTGCTTGCTGCATAATGAGTTAACAGTCCATGTTTGTGATTTTTATATTTTTTATTTGACTTCCTTTTAAATATATACATGTAGTCTATAGTCACGCAAGCCAAGCCCTAATCAAAATATATTGATGTGCCAAACCTAGATTTTGTGATATTTTCGTTCTGGGTCAAAATCTTGCTTCTTAGAGATATTGCCAAGACACAAAATAGAACAATACTGGTTGGGGAGATAACTTCGGCTGGTTGATGAACTCGGCTTTTTATAATTTAATCGAGTTATCGGCTTTTTTAATGTAATAATGCTCACCATCTCGTACTAACGCTATAATTTGACAATATCTGGAAATTTTGTCAAGTTTGGTAAGATATTTAAAAGATAGCACAGACTTTTACCCGTTTGTTTACAAAACATGCCTATAAATAGTACGGGAAATCCAATTGCTGACCGCATGCGCAGTAGATGCTCATTTTGAGGCCCGTACACGGTCACTTTTTATGAGTCCCGGTCAGGCTGCACATTTTTATCACCCTATGACATACTTAAAAAAGAACAAACCGAAAAAAAACCCAAAAAAAACGTATTAACGTTAAAATGATTTATAATATTATATGTTACATAGTACATTGCATATTTAATATCATGTTATCATAGATACATGTATTCATTATACTAACGTAATTCTAAAAAAATTATATTTGACATATAAGACTAGCAAAGGAATAATAAAATGTCTAAACATGTTATTAACTTATTCTATGTTTTAATTTACTCATTCAAAATGATTTAAGAAGAAAAACAAAGAGCCGGAATTATCTACTCACGCGTGTTAAAAATGTCATTTTTACGTACCTATTCCAGGGCCTCTCAAAATTACCAGTTTTGTTTCTAAATTTTATTTTTATGGTGATACCGGAATATCGAAGAGCTGAAGTTTATTATGGTGCAAGATTCATCAGAATACAGTCGAGACTGTCATATGCGACTTTCCAAGGGATCTTCAGAAAAAGGTCACATATGACAGGGAGTCTCTAAATACAGTCTCAAAGAAAATTAAATGTAAATACCATCTATCTGTCTATATATCATTGTGACTTAACATACATAACTGTGTGATGGAATAATATCTAACCAATTGCAAATAAACATAGGTAATCGTAATTTTTTTATGTAAATAAAATAAGAATCCATGTAAAACAACTATATATTAGCATGTATATCACATAAAATTTAATTTTATTTTTTGTATTAAGATTTAAATTGAATCTTTTTTGTATAAATTAACTGGAATTTGATGCATGCATGTACTTGTAAAAGTTAAACATATCCATATCCAAATTTTCTGGTTTGGTATCCATATTTTTTCCGTATTAATTATGCAGCCATAGAAAGGTAAATTTAAAAAAATGCTGCCTAAAATATCTTCTGTTGGCACTCTATAATTAAAAAAAATATGACACAAGCTTAATCCAGTTTACTCAGGTCAATATATGTACATTACACACCATGCTTCCCATTAACAGACGCTTACTGATGTCACTCGATACCTGTATACATGTTAACTGTGTAATTGAGACAGAAGTGTGTAGACTTTGTTTGCTACTTGATTAATTATTTTGGCCCTCTGGGTGTTAAAATAGATATTATTTATCTGATTAACGGACAATTAAAAGGTGTGAAAGTCGTTTAAATCAGACAAAACATTGCATTGGGACCAGACAATTAGGGTCGCTTGTCACATATGACAGGGAGTCGTTTAATTCAGACCATTTTTATAGGAAAATACGTTGGGAGTACTGAAACAAGGTCGGATTAGACAGGGAGTCGTTTAAATCAGGGGGTCGCTAAGGCAGTCTCGACTGTACATAAACAAATAAATGAAATATGCCGCAAAAACACCGATTTTCGGCCGAGTTTATCTCTCAAACCAGTATGTCTTCGCGCAGTAAAATTAGTTGCAGTGTTTCCACTACTTTGCATTTTTAATCTTCCATAATTGGATGTCTTTTAACCGTTCTACAATCAGTCACTGTATCCGGGATCTAGAGATTTAAACAAGCGATTTGTGTATGAAGACGCTTTTCTCACAATGGTAAACACACCACAAAAGATAGGGACTTTAGTGGCAAAAATATCAAAGTTTCTGCTATAAACAGGTTTAATGTTTTGTCTTTTGATGCAAATAAGCCTTGGTTCTTCCTTTAGATATCTCTAAGATTTTTCGTTTGCAACTGCAAAAAGTGAGTAATTGAAGTTAACATGTGAAATCAAACAGTTCTGTGATTTACCTTTGTAGTTTTTACTTCTTTTAAATTTGACCCTTCATAATTTCAAAATGATCCCCATATTTCTATACAGAGGGTCACAAACTACCCCCAAAAAGTCAAATCTGGCAGAAACACTGTTAAGTTGGACTACCCAATCATGGAACCCTGAAGCCTTTGACTTCCCTGTATTAATCAAAACTGCACTTTCCTTAGCATTTTTGTGCTTTATTATATATTATTTTATGTTCCAGAGAACAAGTTCAAAAGTAGTCTTCTTTATTGTTTCAAACCTGACTAATTTTGACTTTTTTCCCCAAAATACAACTCATTCTTCCCTAGCTGATAGGCTCTGCCAGCTTTCCCTGAGGTGTAAATAAAATCGCTGCAAATGTACATCCTATTGGTACACTGTTTTTTTTTCTAGCAAAAATTCACAATCCTGGTAAAATAAGTCTGTAATTATCTTTTTTTATCCATATTTTTCATATAATGATAATTATCCAGACTATCAATTTGTTATTATTGATTGTTTAAAACTAAGTTCACAAAATTTTCTTCTAATGTGAACATATTACAAATTTTCCAAACTATGTAGAAAATTCGTCATTGGCGAGGTCAAATTACTAGAATAATTTTCTGAACAAAATATGTACCGGTAATTACTGTTGAAATAATGAAAAAGTTAATTGTATTACTATTTAAAAAGTTATAACGTTTTTATAAGGTAGTTTTTTTTAAATAACAATTTTATCCGTTGGAAGGATCAAGAATTAAGTATATGACTATGAGCAGCTCAGGAATCTACTAAGACTTGTAAGATGTTAGGGATGTCCAGTCAATATTCTGTTTTTCTTTCAGACATTTTTATTATCAAATTTCGACGAAATGGGGAAGCATAAGAAGCACCACTATGGTCACAAAAGTTCGTCTTCATCTTCAAGTTCTAGCTCAGACAGTTCTGATGGTGAATACAAACATTTACCTAAACATGAACGTAAACGTATGAAGAAACTTAGGAAACAAATGAAAAAGGTATACAGGAGTTTAAACCCATAGTCTTCTGAACATTTATGTAATGGATTTGCCCTATTTTGAATTTGGGTCAGTCCATTTAAAGTTAAAGGGATTTAATTATCACAATACAAAAATTGAGTAACAAACAGTAGTGAGTCTGTTCAGACAGCATGGACGTACAGGCTCTTCTGACTCTCTGCTAGTAGCAAAGGCAAATCATTTTGGATGCCATCAGTGTAAAGGTGAAACTGTTCATTTTGATTAGGATTACAGTTATTAATAGTCTAGTCTACATATTGTGTTTATGACATGATTATATTTAACTGTTGGTCATTTCAATATAAGGAATAAAGTCTTCTTGATTCGGGGATGTTGTATTCTGTATCAAACATATATTTGTGTTTCAATTCAAATTTAAGGAAATGTATACGCAGTCATGTTTCTGAATTTCTTTCTTATTGTTTTGATATTTAATTATACCTCTTAGTTTAATATACTACAGAATTTTGCAGCCATAAATGTCCCAGTTGTATTATTTGTTTCATTTTACATCTTTTACCAATGACTTATAGAATCTAAGAAATTAAATTTCCAATTTCATCTGTTTCATTTTTTTTTTACCATTGCTTGATGTGATAATACAGTAAAAAAATTCTGACACTTGACAGTTAACAAAACTGTCATAACACTTTGTTTTACAAAGACGAAAGATTTATATTTTCTTATCAGTTTAAGACATTAATTATCCATTATTGAAAATTATAAACCTTTATTATGACACAATGTATTTGTATTTTTCAGGGTAAAATACCACCAGGTTCAGTGCCAGTGAGTTCATTTCTTTTTTCTCTCCCAATTTTTCGCACACGTTTATTTTTTAAAACATTCATCATTGTTTTTGCCTTTGTTAATGAAAATTTGTGTTATTATTTTACTACAAGTTTTATATAACATACATAGTCAGGGAAGTATTTCTTGTTATCTTTACATGTACAGTTATACTGTTGTATTCCAACATTTCTATCACCCGTCTGTGACTGAGGGGTTAATATTACTGATTTCAGAATGATTTCTCCTCCCTGTTATTAGTTCAAATGCTGTTTTGGACATTGATACTAAGATAATTTTTGGGTTCAGAAATTTTTTTAAAGCTACAAATGTTTTGATATGACTACTGACTGTGTAACATAAAATGTAATAACAAAAGAAACACAAGAAGTTCTTATATTCTGTTTTGTACATTCAAAACCTTAAAATTAGTTACATCAAAATTAAAATTCAATTCTAAAATGGCTCAAAAGATATATCAGTTAATGTGTTATTTCAGGGGATGTATCCAGCAGGAGCCCACGGTGTACCTCATGGAATGCCCCATGGGGCACCTCATGGAGGTTATCCAGGGCAGCCAGGATATCCACCAGCAGGAGGATATCCAACAGGTGTAGCTCCACCTCCTGCAGGGTATGCACCGCCCCCAGGACAGATGTACCCAGGTCAAGCTCCAGGATATCCGGGACAGGCTCCAGGATACCCCCATGGGGCGCCAAATCCTGCCTACCCTGCTGGAGGAGCAGGTGGTAAGTCATTAAAATATTTCATGCTACCTAGCTTTAGGAGTCTAAAACATGCCAGTATAGAAAACTAAAAATTATATACTTGTGTATTTTAATATTTATTCTTTATTTACACTTGTGTAATGTATCTCTTAAGACTTGTGTTCACAACATAATTACATATTAGTAAAATATTTGTCACTTTTTGTAAAAAAAAAAATGAGTATTTTGTAAACATATATCTTTAGTTTTTCCTTCTTGTAGTTAAGCTTTGCATTTACATAATCTTAGCTTTGAAATATATTGTAGAAGTATAGATTTGCTTTTAATAGGTGTACACAATATAGATATCACAGGCTTTGAATGGTATATACATGTATATAACATAGGGCTGTATATGGGTTTTCTACATTATCATTATTCATATTATACATTTTCTATTTGTAATTAATTGCATGACAACTATTTCATCAATTAAGATTGGAATGATAATAATGAAAAGAAAATTAATGAAAAACCAAAGTGTCCACGAATATTGGCTATTTCATTCCATGTTAGAGATTTAAAAGCTACATACATTGTAAGTTAACAATGGAAATAAAATTTCCCAATTTGATAAGGTTTCTTAAACATTGGTACATGTATATCAATTCAATATTTGTAAATATTTTTATTTTCCATCATTTCTTTTGAATTATGTTCTTTAGTCTATATAATTGTCAGCCAGTGTGTAGATTCTTTGATACTTAATCAAAATCAAAAATGTCTAAATGTTTACCATTTGTGTAGGTTTTCTACCACCAGGAGGGGCACCCCCACCGCAGGGTTATCCTGGAGGGGCTTATCCCGGAAGTAAGTAAATCAATGTTTAAATATGTTGTCCTGTGTTTTAAATGCATGGTTCCTAATTAATTGATAAAAACAGACACAGTGGCAAAGCAGTTTAAGTTTGAATCTGGGAAGGGACTCCGTAATGGAGTTCAGTATTGCCTGTCACAGCAACGGGTCAAGTCTGAATTGGCCTCGTTTTCTGTGGAGTGATTAACAATGTACTAACATTGAATCTTACAAATGTAAGATCTGAGTAAGGGCTTTTGAAATAACTTGAAATCCTATTAATATACATTTGTATGAAGTTGGCAAATCATACATGTGACAGTTTTGTGTTTCCTATATAAGCTAACATTTTTGTACGCAATTAAATATTGTTCCTTACATGCAAAACTATTACAACTTTGTATGGTTTAAGAATGAGTGACAATTAGTAGTCCTGTACTGAGACAAGTCCATAAATGTGAAAGAGCCATCTAGGGACTTCAAATTCTTTCATGAGAGCAAAATGTCCATCAAGTTTACAGAAGGTTGTTGGTTCTACTCCAGTGCCGGCTTGTGTCTGAAGTAATGACAAAAGGGGAAGTAGAAGGTTTACTTCCACCAGAAAAGATGGAAATATCAGCACCTTCAAAGTATCAGGGTGACTTTAAGTACATAAAAATATCTGTCGAAAAAAAAAAAACAACAACAACAGAAAAACAAACAATTGATGTAAATATTCATTGTTTAAGGCTTAGAAAAGTAACAGTCTGCTCAATGCTCATTTAGTACAAAATATCTCAGTGTAAGAGTTTACATTAAATGGCCAAGTGGTTAACACATCAGGATGGCTGGCCGGGTAGGTTTTAAACCCCGCCTGGGGCAGGCAGGTCGTTGTTTCCTTGAGCAAAATCTTAACACAGATTGCTAAGTACTGGTTAGTTCGAGGAACAGATTTGAGAGTGTTTCAATAAACTTTTACCCTATAAAGTACTCATTGTTTGCATGCTTATATATATATATTGTGTACTGTTTGATGTTGTCCTTGGTATGACATCTGCTTTAGACTTCAGAAAATGGATCATATTTTAAACAGTTGTAGGAGTATATCAAAAATAGATCGCTGTCCTTTATAGTTCAATAAAAATCTAATTCAACACACTTACCATGGTAAATATCGTAAATTGACTTGTCAGTTGTTTCAATTTGGACAAAACCATTCATCATTTTTAGGAAATATTTCAAAGTATATAGTGACTAAAAAGCAACCAGTGCAGACCATGATCAACTGGCAGGGATGTGCTGGTTGATTTTGGTTTGTACTGGTTGCTTTAAGGTTGAATCTGTTACCATCAGCAGGCTTAGGGTTGAAATAGTTTTACGTACAAAATGTCCAGTAAATACATGTAAGTTGATGTTTGTAAAGTAATTAAATTCTGAATTAGATTTTCAGAAGCATGGTTAACTTATTTTTTGTCTCCATTTCTTTTCAGACTACCCAAATACGAGGCCATATTGAGTTGTTATTGCGTTCTCGTCATACATGTAATTGGCAGTGGCTGTGCATAGTAAACGCTATAGTTTTAGAAGAAACTTTCAAAACCAATAAAAATCATTCTTTATTGTAAAGAGATTTTTTTACATGTATCTTATCACCCTTATCTGTTTATAAATTCTTGCCCGTCAATGTTGGGCATTTTGTCATTTTACAATATGTACAATAGGTCAATTTTTTATTTTCTAGAAAATTTTATTTTCAAGTAGGATTTTTTTCTGTGTGCATTGAGTAACATATGTATAATCATTTAGATTTTTTTGTCCTTTCAAGCTAGCAAAATTGATTGATAATGATTTATACATTTGTATCTTCAATTATGATATAATACACAGTTATCCATAAAACTCATGATTATTGATTATTGTTTGTAAATCACAAATCTAGACAAAACCATTCACCAATTTAGGGAAAATTTCAAAAACATTTACTGGCTGATAGGTGACCAGAGCACACCATGATCAGACTGCACGAATGTGGTGGCTTATACTGGTTTGCACTGGTCATAACTTTTAATTTCGTAAAAACTAGTTTACAAGAAAGAAAAAAAATCAAAAAAATAGTGACCAATATTGGTAGGAATCAAATCATTTGTTTTTTAGACATTGAATAAATATAGTGCTATTTTCTTAGATATTGTTCCTCTTTTTATTTCATGATTATTGCATAATTACATGTGTACAAATTTCTCTTGATGCCCTCCAAAAACTCAGTGCCAATATTATTTCTTTATGTTAAGTTTAAAGTGACATTGTGTTCATTTTTTTCGCTGGACAACATCATGTTGACATGAATTAGTAATATATTTCAAGAGATTGACTATAATAATGGTTATTGACTTATAATTGATGATGGAAAATGTTTAGCATAAGATATAAAAACTGCCTAACTTAAAAAAAAATTGCCCCACTTTTTTTTAAAATTGAACGTTATTAATACATTCCAAAAACTATTTATAGAAATTTCAATTTGGTCACTTGAGTTAATGACTATTTTTGCATAATAAAATATGAAATTGAACACAATTATGGCAAAAAGTTATTTTGACTTTTACCTGCAATTTACACTTTAGATGGTCCTTTAATGCAGATATGCAACGTTTTATTCTGCTCAGATAATTTTTATCATAATATTATATATTTGATCCATTTTCTGAATGTTTATACACATTTAGTATAATATTTTCATGTATAAATTTGGTAAATGCTAGGTCATAATAGAGTGCATGCTTATTTTGGTGGTTGTTTTTGTTTGCCTTCTTTATCATTATGTATTTGGGGTATAGATTTTCTTATTTCATGTTTTAAGCAATATATGTATGTGTAAAAAAACTGTTAAACAATTTAGTTTTGATATAATAATACTACACTCACTGTCAGTACAATGCATTGATGTGTCATTTATTTTGTATGTCAATAAGTGTATTTATCATTGTAAAAATAGGTAGTATTGGTAATTAGCTGCTTTTTTATTCTTAAAAAATGAATGATGAATGCACAAATATTGATAACAATTTTGATAATTTTTTACTTGTAGTATTCCTTTTTGAAACTCCTTTTTATGCAGTTTATATGATGGATTGTTAAATTTCTAAGTGTGCTTTTATGCAGATTTTTTTTGGGAGAAACTTTTGATATAGGTATGTTTAATGGATACAGTTGATTTGCCTAGTGAAAAAAATAACAGGGAGGTAGGCATATCATTTTTGTAGAGGCAGGTTAAATATAAAAGATGTTAATTCTTTCATCATGAAGTCAAACAAGATAATAACAAACTTCCAATTTGTCATATTTTCTTTAAAGGGGCTTGCTAATAGATTATGTATGAAAAAAAAAATTGGTCAAAGAATAAGTAAATGACCAAAATAATAAATAATATGCATGTATTGTTTTTGAAAGGTACAATATGATATAAATGGATTGACATTGTTTAAGCGTTTAAGGGAGTTTGTCAGAATTCAAAGAAAGATATTATCATTTCAGAGTATGACTGTTGTAACCTCATTGAAATAAAGAACCAAGTACAAAATATTTACATCCAAATATTGCTGTAATTTCACCTATTCCTATATTTTTGCAGCATAAGCAAAAAAAATTAAGATAGCGATGTACGAAAAAAATCCCTCTTTCTGTGAGCAAGCTCCTTTAAAAAACAGAAAAATGAAATGAACTAACCTTGTTAAAACAATGTGATATTGTTGGCGCTTTCCTTTGTTGCACATTGTGTATATGTTAATTTTTACCTATTAATCTTTATGAAATAAAAATGATTTATCAAATTATACTGTGTGTATTTTAATATGAAGGAGTTATACACATTTTGCTATCAAAACATTTTTTTTTTTTTTTGGCTAATTAAATCTCATACATGAAGTAGGCTTAACATTGAAATGGCAAGACTAATGCTGCTTATATAGAAAATTCTGTAATAAATTTTTGAAGAAAAAAAGAAACCCAGATATAAGCATTTTAATATATATCTTTTCCTCTTATAGAATAACTTTGATGTTTATTCAGCAGCAAAGATGTCAAACAATTACCAGCCCTGTTGAATTGATTAAAGGTCAAGTTTATTTTTGTTGCTACTTCATCGTTGTATATTGAAGATTGTGAAAGTCAAACACAAATTCAACAGATATACATGTACCGTATAAGTGTTTTTTTCTGCGGGCTCCAAATTCTGCGGTTTTTCCAAATTTTGGCATGTTTTTATTTCTGCGGACTATATTTCTGCGGCACATTCTTTGGACAAAACGTGATTTAATTTCTGCGACTCTTCATATCAAAGTCTAAGTCACATTACTCTATTTTATTTGCATGTACACATTCACATTTGTTTATCGTCGTCGCCACAAAGTACAGTAATTACAAAAAATTATATTGTTTGCTTGCAAACAAATATAATGCGCAACAGTAGAAAGGTATTCATCTTTTGATCAGCGTGAAATTGCGTATGAAAAATATATCCCGGTAGGGTAATCTTTAATTTAATTTAATACCGTAAATCAGATGACAAAGTATACGACGATTATTTAGCAGTATAAGGGTTGAAATGGTTTGAATGATTTAGTGATTAACAACCTTTAGCCTATCGGCAAACACTATATATGATGTTTAAATATCTTTATTCTTAAGTTAGCATAATTAACAATAAGTACACAAACACAGAATACATACTTAGCAGATAGCAGTTTTTTTCAACTTGAAAATCCGCTAACCATTATAATCCGTTAGTCGTTATTACTTTAGATGAAACAGGTCATAATGCAGTACACATATAGTACCAGGTTAAAAAACAAAAACATGGAAAAATATTCTGCGGTTTTTATTTCTGCGGTGCTGAAACTGACCGCAGAAAACGCAGAAATAAAGTCACCGCAGAAAAAACCACTTATATGGTATATGTGCACTTATGGAATATAGAACAGTCTGAATTGACAGTCTAGTCTAGTTTCAAGCTATAAACAGTATTTATTTTATAATCAGGTTAGGCAGTCCTCACATTCCAGTTTTCTTAAACAAAAAAAATCATGGAGCCTGACTTTTCTTTGTATATACCAGACCATAATATTCTGGTGACAGTCTGAAAAAAATACATTGATATGATTACTTCCTTATCAGTTGAAAAAAAAAACACTTATTGAATGTATTGTTTTCAGGTATAAATCCAGTTGCTTCCCTTTTAAAAAAATACACCTTTTTTAGCTCGACTTTTCTATGAAAAGGGGAGCTATCCTACTCGCCCCGGCGTCGGCGTCGGCGTTGGCGTCACACCTTGGTTAAGTTTTTCGTACCACCCCACTTTATTTCAGAAGTATTACAAGTATGGCTTTGAAACTTACCATACTTGTTCACCATCATAACCTCCATCTACAGACAAGAGTACATAACTCTGTCAAGGTTTTTGACAGAATTATGGCCCTTTTTTGACTTAGAAAGTGTATTGAGCTTGGTTAAGTTTTTTGTACCACCTCACTTTATTTAAAAACCATTGGAGGTATTGCTTTGAAACTGACCATACTTGTTTACCATCACGACCTTCATCAACAGACAAGAGGACATAACTCTGTCAAGGTTTTTGACAGAATTATGCCCCTTTTTGACTTAGAAAATACATTGAATATGGGTAAAATCCACTTATTGCCTTAACCCTTTGAGATATTGCTTTGAAACTTTTAATGCTATTTCACATCATTACCCCCATCTGTACGCAAGAGAAGGTAACTCTGTCAAGGATTTGTTTTAAAAATTAAGGCCTTTTATCGACTTACAATCTTGGTTAAGTTTTTAGTACCAGTCCACTTTTTGACTGAACTGTTTGAGATATTAATTTGAAAGTTGGAATACTTGTTTACAATCATGATTCCCAAACATGTCCAGGAGAAGGTAATTCTGTCAAAGATTTTATTTGAATTATGGCCCTTACCTGTCAATGTTTTGTATTATAGGCAAGCACTAAAAATACCTTATTCTCTCAAAGTGGGTTTAATACTATTAAATTTATTTAAGGCTCAACTCAGTTTTTTTTTCTTTCTTACCAGCCCTCTTTTGACTTAAACATTTCAAACTTTGCTGCAGTGTTCAAGGGTATCACACAATTCAGTAAAATAATTCTTCACTAAATATCTTAATGCTCATGGCATTGTTCACTTTAAAAATACAGAGATTCTTGTATTGCCTTTTACTGCAAAAACTTTTTTTATTGGCAAGCAATAAAAAAGTCGAGCGCGCTGTCTTACGGACAGCTCTTGTTTTTTGGTTGGGTTCTACCTTGCACCAACATAGAAGAGACTTTCCAGCTTTACTGATGGAGGAAGACCTACTGTGCACTATTCAGGCACAAATTGGGACTTGTGTAGAACCACATCATTCCTAGCTGGATTACTTTCCTCACATGAAAGAATTCAAAGTCCCTGGCAGCAGGATTTTACCCTCGGAAGTGAGGGTTTAACGGTTTGGAGTCAACAACCTTAACCATTTGGCCACAGACTTTATTCAGATACTTCCTGTATATGTAGGCTAACTGTATACTGCATCAATTAAAAATTGAAAAAAAACAAAACATGCTGAAAGTGGTAGCTTTCCTTGCCAAACGAAAACAATTACATTTTGTATATATAGGGTCTAACATGAATTGCCATATAATTTAACATTTTATCAAATTAAGAAAATTAAAGAAATTTTTAATAAAGTGTGCTTTATAATATGAGCCGTGCCATGACAAAACCAACATAATTGGTTCGCTGTTCGCTTACCAACCCTATTACAAGTAGAGAAACTGATAGCGAACAGCATGGATCCTGATCAGACTACCAGCTCAAATATGACAACCAATATGCGATCCCTTTTCTCACACTACTAAACTTATTGAAATTGATAAATTTAAACTTAATTCAGCATGTTATAATACATGTACATATGTAAACAGAAATACTTGCCAAATAAAAGTTATACTTTTTTATATTAAATCATGTCTGGTCTTTTTTATCAAACAAAAAGCTACACACTGAGGCCTGCTCCATTACCTATGGTTAAATGTATAATCCTACCAGATAAGTTTATTGATAGCAACCTGAAACCCTGACAAGCAACTATAACTCCAGAAGATTCTTAGCAATTGTATAGATGTTAGTGCAGCTGCATGCCAGAAACAACTGTTTTTAAATAAGCAAAGTATAAAAGCACCGGAACACTGGACTTGTTAAGTTTCACTGGAAAGACTTTACTTAGATATTAATTTTAGCTTATTATAATCAAAGGTCTTTGATGAGTTTTTAGGTAGAATCAGTTTAAGATGGACCATTGGTTGGATCAGAACAGCCTTGCAATACATTACACAACCACTGTCTTGACTTCTAGGTGCTGTGTAAACTAAACAATTAAAAACTTTTAATTCACATGTTTTGTATTGTTACATACTTGGGTGGTTTTCCATCAAAAATTGATAAATCAGATAAAATTTCATCTAATGTAAAGATAAGATACTTTAAAAACTTGAGAATCCACATGACATTTTATCTGGAGAGCAATTTAAGATAATTTTGCCTTTGAAGTAAAATATTTAGAGACAGTTAATAATTCATTTCATGACAAGACCCTGTTGAATATAAATCTTGACTTTCAGATTTATTCATACATGTACTTATCTTAAAGATAAACACCAAGGTTTATCTTGTCAAATTACTGTACAAAAAAAAATGAAATCTTTGGTTCAACTAAATTTTAAAAGTGAATCCTTTCATCATGTTTTAGCAATTTTTATTTTTCAGGCCAAGCCAGCTCTGGTATCACAGCTGGTCAGTATGACTACACAAAGCCAGGTGCTCCACCTGTTGGGCAACCAGGATACCCAGGGGCTCAACTAGGATATGCCCCAGCACCTGGTGGCCAACCAGGCTATGCCCCACCACCAGGAGGTCAACCAGGCTATGCACCACCACCAGGTGGCCAACCAGGTTATGCACCACAACCAGGAGGTCAACCAGGCTATGCCCCACCACCAGGAGGTCAACCAGGCTATGCCCCACAACCAGGTGGCCAACCAGGCTATGCCCCACCACCAGGTGGCCAACCAGGCTATGCCCCACCACCAGGAGGTCAACCAGGCTATGCCCCACCACCAGGTGGCCAACCAGGCTATGCGCCACCACCAGGAGGTCAACCAGGTGGCCAGACAGGGCAACCGGTAAATAACTTTATTCAACAAGTATTAAAAACCTGGTTCCACATGTTTTGTGGTGTAAAGTGTTGTTGTTAGCTCACCTGAGCACAATGTGCTCATTGTGAGCTATTGTGATCACCCATTGTACGTCGTCAACAATTACTTTAAACAACATCTCCTGAAAAACCAATGACTGCACAGCAAGCAAACTTTACAGGAATGATCCTTGGGTGATCTCCTGCCAAAGTTGTTCAAATGGTTCCGGTCTGTTCCATAAGTAGGTCACAGGGCTAGAAAGGAGTTTAAAAAATGCAAACTTAAAAAATCTTCTTGTCTGAAAGTACAAGGCCTAGAGCTTTGATATTTGGTATATGATATCACCTCAAATTATAGCCCTGGGGTCAAACTTGGCCCCACCCCAGGGGGGTCATATGTTTTCCTAATATGTATATAGTAAAGACTTAAAAAAATCTTCTTGTTTGAAGGTACACGATTTAGAGCTTTGATATTTGGTATATGATCTCACCTATAGGTGCTCTACCAAAGTTGTTCAAATTATAGCCCTTGGGTCAAATTTGGCCCTGTCCCTGGGCGGTCATAGGTTTTCCTTATAATTATGTATATAGTAAAAGCTTTAAAAAAATCTCCATGTCTGAAGGTACAAGGCTTAGAGCTTAGATATTTGGTATGTAATATCACCTAAAGGTCCTCTACGATAGTTTTTCAAATTATAGCCCTGGGGTCAAAATTTGCCCCGCCCCGGGGGTCATAGGTTTTTCTTATATGTATATAGGTAAAACTTAAAAAACCTTCTCTGAATTGACAAAGGTTAGAGGTTAGATATTTGGCATGAAGCATTGTGTAGTGGAACTGTACCAAGATTTTCAAATTATAGCCCTAGGGTCAAAATTGGCCCCGCCCCGGGGTCATAGGTTTTCCTTATATGTATATAGTTAAAACTGTTCTTTAACCTTATCATAATTTTAAAGTTCTTGATGTATTGTCTTAAAACATCAACTTCTTACCTTTACATAAAAATTAACCATGTTTTGTATATCTTTAAGACCTGGTAACTTCACTTTTGTATATCAATTGCATTTAATACTCAGATGAGCGCATTGGGGCCAATGGCCCCTTGTTTTTTTGTTAGGTTTATGTCGCACCAACAAAGTAAACGTGACATGGTGCCTTTTTAGCTTTACTAGTGGGGCAAATAGTTTAACCACTCTGCCTCAGACATCTGGTATTCATTCAAGTAAATTGAAAAGTATATTGAATATCCATTAGTCTACAACAGTCAACACATTTAAACATAATATTCTATTTTACAGGGTTTGAGTGGCCAGTTCCAGCAACTTGGTATCCATGGCAACATGGGAATGCCTCGTCCAGTAATTAGACCAGCACCAAATTTCTCCGCTGAGAAGGATGCTGAAATTATTCGTAAAGCCATGAAAGGGGCAGGTAATTGATAAATCAGCAATATTCTAGATTTTGAGCTTGACTGTTTGATGAATAAAGAAAGCTATTTCTAAGCGGAGTGTTCAAATCCCACAATAAGCAGTGTTTTTATGTGCCATAGCTGTCAATATAGACATACAGAAGGTCAGGGAAAATATCTATGTTTCCTCATACACTGCATACTCAATGAAGGGATTTTAACTTGTTCCAAAAATTTCATATCTTTTGCTCAATTTATTATTCCAGAGTAATAATTTTTATTGTGCAAAATGACATCAATATGAAAAGCATTTTTATGCGTAATAGTATATTTCCTTATAAATATCTTTTTCCATTACAAATGCCCTAACTGATTCATGCAAGAATTTCAAATTTTATGCTTTTGAACCTTTGTGGTGCTTCTGTGACCATACTGTTTTAAATTAAATTTAGTATTAAATTTCAAGTGTTATTATTTTAGGCACAGATGAGCAGGCCATCATTAATGTGATTAGTCAGAGATCAAATCAACAGCGTGTTAACATCATGAACATGTTTAAAACCATGTATGGCAAGGTAGATAAATTATCATGTTCTTTGTATCTATATTTTTCACCCTTACCACTCTAAAGATCTTAAATGGACTTGTCCTTCATTCAATTTAGACAAAACCTTTCATATTTTTCATGAAAAAAAATCAAAATAAGTAATGACTGAATAGCGATCAGTACAGACCATGCTCAGACAGCATAGCTGTGCTTGCTGATTTTGGTCTGCACTATTTGCGTGGGTAGTGGCAGTAACAACTAGCAGGTTAAGGGTTAGAGGTACATGCCTCCAGGTGAGCCAGAATACATGTATTTCAATAAAAAATGTACTAAAATGTTAGGAAAAGTAAAAAGATTCAAGATTTAAGTACTAATTTACATGATATGTGTGATTAATGATTGATTTATTAGTATGTATCTATAACCATTTTTCTACTGTTTTTGACCTCATTTTGTTATTTTATGTAGGTCGTGAGTGCTCTTTGTAATGTGTAAATTGCTTCCTTTTGGTTACTTCATAATGTTTTACTTTTAAATACATTTTCAAGATTTTCATAAAAATTAGCATGAATCTGAGGCGTGCTGCTTTTATATCTTTTAAACTATATTTTGTAAAAAAATACGTATATACAAGTACTTGTAACAAATCTTTCTTGCAAAAAAAATAGTCATTACTGATACAATGTCAATAAATATGGAAAAATGAAGCATTATTTTTTTTTAAAATAAGACAGTTGAAAATGTAAAATATAATTTGTAACATTTTTATTTTGTTTTAAGGATTTAATCAAAGATTTGGAATCGGAACTAAGTGGAGATTTCCGTGAGACAATAATGGCTATGTTTAAACCTACAACTTTCTACGATGCCTGGTCACTTCATGAAGCCATTAAGGTAAACCTTCAAAATGTACATTCTTTATTTTTGATATATAATGACAAAACCAACATAATGGGTTTGCAACCAGCATGGATCCAGACCCTGATCAGGATCCATGCTGTTCTCTATCAGTTTCTCTACTTGGAATAGGGCTGGTTAGCGAACAGGATGGATCCTGATCAGACTGCACGGATGCGCAGGCTGGTCTGGATCCATGCTGGTGGCAAACGCACTATGTTGGTTTTGTCGTGATGCAGCTCATATGTTATTTCTGTTGAACATACAACAGCTTTATTAGTTTATGGATTTAGCTGTTATTTTATGATCAAGTAAATGCTGTTGAAACAGATTGACTATATATTATCATACTGCAACTTGGTATATAAATTTGGATGACCCAAGCATGAACATTGAATAAATTCTATATTAGCATTAGCATACTGTAGCTTAGTATATAAACTTGGATCACACAAGCATGAACATTGAATAAATTCTATATTAGCATTAGCATACTGTAGCTTGGTATATAAACTTGGATCACACAAGCTTGAACATTGAATAAATTCTTTATTAGCATACTGCAACTTGGTATATAAACTTTGATCACACATGCTTGAACATTGAATAAATTCTATATTAGCATACTGCAACTTGGTATATAAACTTTGATCACACAAGCTGGAACATTGAATAAATTCTTTATTAGCATACTGCAACTTGGTATAAAAATTTGGAACTCACAAGCTTGAACATTGAATAAATTCTATATCAGCATACTGCATTTTGGTATATAAACTTTGATTACACAAGCTGGAACATTAAATAAATTCTATATCAGCATACTGCAACTTGGTATATAAATTTGGATGACACAAGCTGGAACATTGAATAAATTTTATATTATCAACAAATTTCTCTTTTATGTATGATATTATACAGAATCATTATTGAATATGCACACAATTCAACTTTTTGAAGGAAACAACTTGTGCAAAAAAAAACAGTCGAGTAGAATACAAATGAAGGAAAATAAGGTTTTTGTACACATTAGATCAAAACCTAATGCTATAATGGAAAAATTAGTTTTTTATTGACTCTGTTAGTGACAATATACATTTCAATCTATTCGGACACTTTTAAAATGTATAACTATTGTAACTGAGCTGTTAGTCTTGTTTTATAATTTCAGGGTTTAGGAACGAAAGAATCTGCACTGATAGAGATTCTCTGTACAAGGACTAACGCTGAAATACAGGAAATTAATAATTGCTATAAACAGTGTAAGTTAGAATCATATTTATATATTATAAGCTTAGTGTTTGTTATCTTTTGTGTTGGGAAGTTTTAATTATCACTCGCACAGGCGTTTGTTCATTCATTTGTCTTGCTAATGGTCAAATTATCATAAAATAATCTCCCCTTGATTATCAAGTAAATTACTACCCAGCACCAGTTTTCTATATATCATATAATATATAACGGGTGCTGGATAGTAATTTTGTTCATGATGATCAACAATTGGCAAGACAAATGTGCTGGACGCCTCTAATCTCTTGTGAACAGTTGAAATTTCATCAAAACTGAGTCTGCGATTTCAAATTATTTGTTATGTGTTCTTATTTCTCCAGAGGGATATCCCCTCTTCAAATTTTTTAAACATTGTTTTGGCTTTTACAGTTTGCAGTATTAATATAGATATATATTTAAGGCAAAAGTAATTGAAATAATTTCAATTAAACTTCAGACAATGTCTTTTCGTGTTTTACAGAGAATATTAATTTAAATGGTGCTTTTTTTGTTTTGTTTTTATTTATTTATTTTTTTTTTGGGGGGGGGGGGCATTTAGCCCTACATGGTTATTTTAAATAGACTGGTTCTTTGTAACAAAATTTAAGTATAGAATCTGCATGTAAATACCCAGTATGTATACCCGTCATGTTATATTTCAGATTATCATCAAACCCTGGAAAAAGATATTGTGAATGACACAAGTGGCCATTTTAAACGTCTGCTAGTCTCTTGTTGTCAGGTGATTATGCAACACTTATGCTGTTTTCATTTTAATCCTCTGTTAAAACAATGATTAACAGTTTAGATGCTTGGGGTTTTATTCAAACCACAATTTTTCTATGGAACATAATAGTTTTTAGTTTGTACTTTTTTCTGGTTTTTTTTTCCTCTTGTGGTATGAAAATTATCATATTTCACTTGTGGCTACCGCCACTCATGAATTTTTTATTTTTATACCACTTGAGGAAAATAAATCTTGCATTTATAGAAAGAACTTGAATATCCTCTATATTTTATTAGTTATAAAGATTTTTGGCAGCCTATATAAATGATTGATTTGAAATATGGTTACATTGCAAACAACCATTTATATACGTCCATATAACCCTATCAGGAATATTTATAACAAATTTATAATACAGCAAACTTCTTTTTTAGAGAAAAAAGTAATTGACAGCTGCTGTGTATATAAAACTATATAAATGTCGAGATTATCCAATGAAATGTGGTGTTACAAACATGCAGTATTATAAACATGTATATGATATACAGTTTAATATTGAGAAAAGAGAAAATGTTCTAATTGGTCTTCAGTAGTCAATAATTTTTATGTTAATATAATAATAATATCTGTTACTTTTAAGGTAACATGAATCAGAAACATAGTAGCTTATAATAGCTATGCATTGTCTTAAATATATAACAGGTTAGTCAAATATTAAAGGATGAATACTTTAAAGCAGTAATAACATTTTTTTTAAAAAGTCAATTTCTAAATTCTTTTATCTCGCAACTCAAACTTAAGCTTTTTATATATACATACACACATGTAAATGTATTTAAGTTTACTAATTTTTTATCCATATTTCTGGACCTCCCTTCTCTCAGGCTAACAGGACAGAGCTGACACCTGAACAATGGCAGCGTGTTCAGACACAAGGGCCGGAATCTGTTATTGATAGAAATCTTGCACGGGAAGATGCTCAAAAGCTCTACCAGGCCGGAGAGAAAAAACTTGGCACCGATGAGTCAGCATTTTTGACAGTTCTTGCTGTTAGGCACTATTTCCAGCTCAGAGCAACTTTCGAGGAATATGTCAAGGTCATAAATTTTCCTACAATAAATGTTTTCTTTTTGCTTTACACTAGATATCTTCAATCTAATTGCATTGTATTAAATTTTGCATAAAGATAAAACAGTTACATTATTTTTTTTATTTAAAAAGAAGTTTTGCAATACCTTTTCAATCCAAATTTAATTATTACTTCTTCTTTAATGAATATCTTGCTGACATTACCGCCTTTACATGAGATAACATCATTTTTTTGTATGTGGTTGATTTTCATTTCTGATGAAAATGTATTAAAGTTGAAACTATAAGAATATGTTGTCTTGACCTTTTTACATTATTAAGGTATACTTCCTATTTAGGTAGTAGATATCAGTTTTGAATGATTTGTTTTAAAATTCACAATTCGAGTTCAAATGTGTAGGAATATAATGATTATCATCATGATTATTTACAAAGCATTTAAACGATAAAACATGCATTATTATACTATAATGCAAGAAAAATTATTTTTCTATTTCCATTCTAACATGCTAATTAAATAAAGAATTGATAGAGATATGTTGAACTACATTGAGTGTAGAGGTTGTTTCCTGACATCAATTGGTTTATTGACATCATACATGTATATGATGTCATATGTCATGCAAGCATTCATTTTTTATGCTGTGCATATAACGTGTAATATAATAGACTTTATTGCCATATCTGTTTTATTGGGGAATTGTGTGAAGCTTGTTAGAATTAGAAATGCTGCACAAGTTTTACCATGAAGCACTTGTGTATATGTATATACATGTAAATGTTTACAGATTGCTGGTAGAGATATCCTCAGTACTATTGACAGAGAAATGTCAGGTGACCTAAAAGATGGATTTATTGCTATAGGTAAGTGACTTTTAATTCAACATTCATTATATTTTAAGTAAAATAGATTGCTGTATTAGATTTATGAAGCTTCCTGACATTGATTGTCTGCCCTGTTTGATTTTAATTTGTGATTTGTAAGATTCTGTTAAGAAAATGTAGTATAGAGGTATATTTCTAGACAGGTGCCTTACGCTTCTATCTGCCAATAATCAGTGCTGAAGTTGAAGTCCTTATTATTATTAAATACAGTTGTTAAGTTGTCCTATACACAGTTTTGATTTTTAAATAAAAAGATTTTTTAGGTACTGACTTCCAACTTTAATTATGTTTTTCACTGAAGGACATATAAGTTGCTTTGCAATAAATCTAACACAAATAAATCAACTAACTCAACTATATAACTCTTTATAACTTACTTCTCTTTCTCATAAAAAAAGACATTTATTGTAAGTTTATTTTCCTTTCTCATAAAAAAGACATAAATTGTAAGTTTATTTTTCTTTCTTATTCTCATAAAAAAGACATAAATTGTAAGTTTATTTTTCTTTCTCATTCTCATAAAAAAGACATAAGTTGTAAGTTTATTTTCCTTTCTCATAAAAAAGACATAAGTTGTAAGTTTATTTTCCTTTCTCATAAAAAAGACATAAATTGTAAGATTATTTTTCTTTTCTCATAAAGAAGCAGTTTTCAGCCATTTGTATACAACATGTATTGATTTGTACACTGTTTCAGTAATGAGTGCCAAGAACCGTCCGGAGTATTTTGCTGACAAGTTGTACCATGCTATGAAAGGAGCCGGGACCAGTGACTCGACATTGATCAGAATTGTAGTGTCTAGATCTGAGGTATCCCAGAATTCTTCAATCTACAGTAGCTTTTGTTAATGATTAGTGACAAAATTTAACCCTTGTTCATCTTTCGATTGATTTTGATTCTTGTGTCGCCTTGAAAAGGCGACATATAGGGGTTACTTTTGTAGGCGGCGTCAGCGGTGTTGGCATCAGCGTCGTTGTCGGCGTCCCCTAAAGCTTGTCCGGAGCATAACTCAGTCACTATAAGTCGGATTGACTTCAAACTTGGTATGCATGCTTCTTTAAATATCCCGAAGTGCAGTGCACAAGAACCGGTACTCTGCACTTCTTAATTTTTGAGTTATTACCCTTTGTAAATTTTCATACTTTAATTTTGTCCGAGCCATTTCTCTTCAACTATAAAAGCTATAGACTTGAAACTTCATAGGATGATAGATCTTATTTAGAAGTGCAGTGCACAAGAACCGGTACTCTACATTTCTTATTTTTTGAGTTATTGCCCTTTGTTAATTTAATACTTTATTTTTGTCCAGGTCATTTCTTCTCAAGTATGAAAGCTATGGACATGAAACTTCATAGGATGATAGATCTCATTAAGAAAAAGTGCAGTGTACAAGAACCGGTACTCTGCATTTCTTATTTTTGAGTTATTGCCCTTTATTAATTTTCATACTTTATTTTTGTCCAGGCCATTTCTCATAAATAATAAAAGGTGTGGACTTGAAACTTTATAGAATGATAGATCTTATTGATAAGAAGTGCAGTGCACAGAAACTGCTGCTCTGCACTTATTATTTTTTGAGTTATTGCCCTTTGATAATTTTCAAATTTCATTTTTGTCCTGGCCATTTCTCCTAAACTATATTGTTCACAAGGCGACACATCCGACTCGCGGAGTTCTAGTTTGATAAAGCTGTTTTCAGTAAACCAGTCCATCATCTATTACAGAGATGGATTTGACCAAAAAAAAACAATTGTCTGTAATAATAAGTAGTACAATAAATCTTCAATTTTCATTTCTTATAGACAGTTGATTCTACTTCTGAAGAACCATAAATGATATTATAAGTGTTATACCCAACTTTTTGTAAATTTGTATTTATTTCTGACATCATGTTTGCAAAGTTATATTTACCATGACCTAATAATAATGATTCTGTGTTAATTTGATGAAATGATTTAAAGTTAACACAGATGGAGGGGTGGCCTAGTGGTTAAGGTGTCTGTCTTTCAATCCAGGGATCATGGATTCGAGCCCTACTTGGGTCACGACCATGTTTCTTCATACACCATTACTGGTTGGTTCCAGGAGGCAGACTCGAAAGTGATTAATATAAGTTGCAAGAACTTGTTTCGCAATCAAACTAAATTAAATATGTTTAAACCAAGTTAACACGATTATATAATTAGACAAAGGTCATATGATATTTCAAAATTTTAAGTCTTTTATAATTAAATGTAATTGCTAAAATTACATGTTAGATGTATAATACAATTTTTCTTATTTGTAACAGGTTGACCTTCAGGATATCAAGGAAGTGTACCTTTCTAAGTACAAGAAGACACTGGCAACAGCTGTATCTTCTGACACGAGTGGCGACTATAAGAGGATTCTACTTGCTGTCATTGGACAGTGATGATGACATCATTCAGTCAGTACTTGTTACTATAAATAGTGTTTCTATATTTAGAACATGTTTCTTTTTGCAGAATATGTTGCTGTGCATAGAAAATGTTACTATTAATGTTAATTGTATAGATCATGATGAAGATTGTAAGTTTACTTACAGCAAGACTATTATAAGCTAGAAATAAAAATGTATTGCCTTTTCATTTATTTTTTTTTTGTAAAACCATTGTCAGAATTTAAAACATATTCTTCTTTGATTATTTTCCTTTATGTAAATATATTATTAAAAGAACAAATTTGAAGGTCAATAGATTTCTTATACCCCAGTAGAACTTTATAAAATTTGAAAACAATTTTATGAAAACAAAATAGCAAAGAAACAAAAAACAATGGTTTAATTGAATTATAATCAAATTCAACAATTTTTTTACACTGCTTCAGGAAAATGTTAATTCTTCCAATGGAATTAAGATTCACATCCCAATACAAACTCAAAATAAATTATAATGTTGTGTTAAATCAAATATTACTACCACCTATATATATGCATTGTTCTTCTTATAATTTATGTGCTAAATGTACAGCATTATGATTATATGTCATGTTGTGTTCACAGTTAAAATGTTATTTGTTTTCAAATCCACATGCTTATTCATTTAAACTTTTTTATCATTACATAATCTGATTTTTTTATTTAATTACCTATGACATGATTTTGTAAGAATTTGTCAACTTGAGTTGACATTCTCATAAATGGTTGATTTTTAATCCGTCCTAAACCATGAACAAATTTTGAAATTAATGGTTGTTTTTTGGGGGTTTATTTTTAGTGTATTTGTTAGCATGTGGAATTTTTATAAAGAAAAATACTAAATTTTTTGTAAATTTTAGAAAATTGTTGAAATGTTAAAATACTTGTTTGGCCAAGTATATGCCCCTAGCATCTGATAGGTTTATTCTTATGTTCATTAAAATGTGGCAAATGTTAAATATTGATTTGGGAAAACTTGTGCCCATCCCATTTTTAGCTCGACTTTTTTTTTTTTTGAAAAAAAAAGTAGAGGTATTGTTATAGTCAGGTCGGCGTTGCCGTTGCCGATGCCGTTGCCGTTGCAGTTGCCGTTCCCGTCCGCAAACTTGTACCTGGATCATAACTTTTTTATTTCTTGGTGTATTGTCTTCATACTTGGCCATAACAACCCTTGGGACAAGACCTTTCAGTAGACCACACTAACCTTGACCTTCATCCATAAATGACCTTGACTTTCAAGGTTAAAAGTCCAATTTTGGCTTGTTCATGCTGTTACTGGCTGTAACTTTGTTATTTTTGAATGGATTGTCTTCAAACTTGAACATAATAATCTTCAAGGATATCCCTTAAAAATAACCTGCCAGACCTTGACCTTCACTCATAAATGACCTTGACTTTGAAGGTCAAATTATTGAAATTTTCATTTTTTTGGCTATTATTGGCTGTAACTTTGTTATTTTTGAATGGATTGTCTTCAAACTTGATCATAATTATCTTCAGGGATATCCCTTAAAAAAAACTAGACAGACCTTGACCTTCACTCATTAATGACATTGTCTTTGAAGGTCAAATTATTGAAATTTTCATTGTTTTGGCGGTAACTGACTGTAACTTTGCTATTATTGAAGGGATCAACTTCATATTATAACAGAACATTTTCTTAAGGACCAGACCTCGTTGCTTATCAAACCCAAATTTGCTTGGGCTCTCTTTAATGACCTTGACCTTGAAGGTTAAATTACTGAATTTTCTCAGATTTGTGCATTAAATGACCATAATTATATATTTAGTGGTGTGTGTGTGTATATATATATATATATTTACAACAACAACAAAAATTGCGTCATTGTTTTCTATTTTAGAAATTGTATCATTGTTTCTATTTTTAGAAATTGCGTCATTGTTGCTATTTTTAGAAATTGCGTCATTGTTTCTATTTTTAGAAATTGCGTCATTGTTTCTAATTTTAGAAATTGCGTCATTGTTGCTATTTATAGAAATTGCATCATTGTTGCTATTTATAGAAATTGCGTCATAGTTTCTATTTTTAGAAATTGCTTCATAGTTTCTATTTTAGAAATTGCGTCATTGTTGCTATTTTTAGAAATTGCGTCATTGTTTCTATTTTTAGAAATTGCGTCATTGTTGCCTATTTTTAGAAATTGCGTCATTGTTGCCTATTTTTAGAATTTGCGTCATAGTTTCTATTTTTAGAAATTGCGTCATTGTTTCTATTTTTAGAAATTGCGTCATAGTTTCTATTTTTAGAGAAATCGTCATTGTTTCTATTTTTTTAGAAATTGCGTCATTGTTTCTATTTTTAGAAATTGCGTCATAGTTTCTATTTTTTAGAAATCGGTCATTGTTTCTATTTTAGAAATTGCGTCATAGTTTCTATTTTTAGAATTGCGTCATTGTTTCTATTTTAGAAATTGCATCATTGTTTCTATTTTAGAAATTGCGTCATTTCTATTTTTTAGAAATTGCGTCATAGTTTCTGTTTTAAGAAATTGCGTCATTGTTGCTTTTTTTAGAAATCACGTCATTGTTGCTATTTTTAGAAATTGCGTCATTGTTGCTATTTTTAGAAATTGCGTCATTGTTTATATTTTTAGAAATTGCATCATTGTTTCTATTTTTAGAAATTGCGTCATTGTTGTCATTTCTAGAAATTGCGTCATAGTTTCTATTTTTAGAAATTGCGTCATAGTTTCTATTTTTAGAAATTGCTTCATAGTTTCTATTTTTAGAAATTGCGTCATTGTTTCTATTTTTAGGAATTGCGTCATTGTTGCTATTTATAGAAATTGCGTCATTGTTGCTATTTATAGAAATTGCGTCATTGTTGCTTTTCATAGAAATTGCGTCATTGTTGCTATTTTTAGAAATTGCGTAATGTTTCTATTCATATATATATACAAAATATATAAACAAAACTAATGTGACAAGACAGACCAACTAAATTTATAAAAAGGAAACGTTAAGATATGTTCAAACCTTTCTATGTTTGCGTTTAGAAAAAGTAAAAAGTCCAGCGTTGCCCCCGCCCGGCGGTGGCTTTTGTTTTTGTTATTGTTGTTTTTAAACTTTTTATAAGGATGTGTTAGTGACCCTGTTGTAACAAAGTGTTGTAAATTTAATCCAGTAACCTCACATACTGCGTTCATATATGATACATAATTACGCAAATTACGATTGTTATAATTATAAACCTTCAAACCAGCAATATTTTTTAGAAAATTATTGGACTAATTTCTCAGGGATGTCAATTGACTGAATTGGATTTAAAAAAAAAGGAATATTAAAACAATCTGAACCCCTGACATTTTAAACCATTAAAGTGGTCACTGTGTAAACACCACCTCTATGTAAGACCACATTTAGGAAAACTTGTTAATTAAGGCCATCGTTTTATATCATTTTCCACAGTTTAACAGTTAAACAAAACCTTGTTTTGATAGACCACCTGTCTACAAAAACCATCCTCTATTTTTGAATACTGGCCTGTATTGTTTGGTTCGACTACGAGTGTTGACCAAATTTTATTTCTCATAATAATGTATGAAAATCTGATTGATGCCAAATTTGATGTATCTACATGTTGCAGTTGGAAATTAATGTATCTAAAATAAAATTTACATGTCTGTGTCAAAATTTAAATTTATAATATTAGTTTTTTTTTGTCAAGGCTTTTGCTTTAAATTATTCATATCATATACAAAATGTACTTATCATAACTGTTGACTTACATGTATCTTCTATTGTTAAATATTATACACTGGTTTTTGTCTATACTTTTTCTTATACTATTTTACTTATACTATTTTACTATAATCACGAATATACTTGTATAGTTAGACATTTGACAATAAACTTACCTTAGTTGACCTACTTTGTTTTTCTCTTCATCTAAGATTCTATTATACACGAGGCTGTATTTTTATTACCAATGTTGAAATAAAAATAAATAGCTGTATTACAGTAAACAGCATAAACTGTTCTATGCAACAAAATTAAATGGGCTTTTGACATCAAGTTGATACTGGAAAATGTTGACTATAAATTATATACTTGCCAAAAAAATTGAAAGACTACCCAATTTAATTATGTAAGATGATCAAAAGCAAAGAAGCCACTCCATATTATAAGAGTCCTAGTCTTTTTCATTGTACAAAATTCCAATAGACACTTACAGAGCTTTCATTTAGCCATGTAAGTTAGATATATTCATGTAAATTATAAAATTGAATGGAATTATGGCAAAATGTATACTTATTTTGACTTTTACCTGTTCACTCACTATATGCCCTTGGATGGGCGCAATTTCACTTCTAATTAAAGGATTTAAGGTAGTTAATGCAACATCATCACTGTTTACACTTGTACTTTTATAAGTATTTTCATGTCTGCCTGGCCATATTTGTTCATACATGTATGTATTAATCAATATAAGCTTCATCTATGACTTCATAGACATGTATTCAAGATTATAACAAAATATCATAACAAGTCATATAAATGCTTCAACTTTATTTACAGTCTCAAGATGGTAGCACAAGTAAGTTCATTTCTATTAAAGTCTGTTTCATATTTGGTTCCACAAAAGTACACTTTAAGTACATAATCAAAAGCAAAAGTAGCAAATGTTTGTTCATTTTTATAGTCTGTTCACACAAATTAACTTGGAATTTAATTATGTAAGTCGATCAAAAGCAAAGAAACCACCCAATTTTTAGCAGTCCATATTATAAGAGTCCTAGTCTTTTTCATTGTACATTTTGGGCCAATCAGAGTTCTTCAGGTCCATAGCACATTGTCTCCTAGATTGAAGAAACAAGTCTGTTCCATTTCAGCTAAATATATCAATTAATCAACTACCACCACTGGTTTGTAGAAGGGTATACTTCTTGATAAATTCTTGATTTTTTACACCAGTCAAGGCTTTCACAGCAAAGGAAAAAGAATGTTTTCCAACTTTGGGCCCGGGTTTTTCCCGGGCTTTCTGTCGACTTTTCCCGTTTTTCATTTAAACCAAAAACCCTGATTTTTAAAAATAATAAAACAGTCTAAAAGACTAATACATTAGGGAGACTTTAAGAAAAAGTGAATAAATGTACAAAATAATACATGACCATACTGAACTATAACGAATCCCGAGGTTTTTTTTTTTGGTTTTTTTTTCTCCAAATCTGAGCCTGCAGGACTGAGTCATTTATTATCATTATAAGCAAACTATGATATACTGATACATGTAAATCTATAAGGTTATACGAGATACAACAATTACCTGGCTCATTGGTACCGTGTTCTCTCACAGCCTCCTCATAGACTGAGCGTATAATTTTCATCTTGGGTTTAGACTGTGCCAATTCCATACTGATATATGACTTGTAAAAATCTGCTGAGACTGGTTTAAACTGCTGTATCCTGAAATATAAAATATTATCCTGAGGTTGATCTCACATATTTCAATGTTGAATGTATATTAATGAAATCAACTTATGTAATTATTTAATCTCTTATTGATGTATTATATTTTATAAATTGTTTTGTATATTGTTGAGGCTCACAGGGAAGACTGGGCTTGCCCATCTGTGTTGCCTCATTAAATAAAGTCGTTACTTACTTACTTACTTACTTACTTACTTATTATTAAATTTCAAAGAAAACTTGCTATCCTACATAAAAACAAGCAAATTCGATGAATTTATATCCCCCGCCGAGTACTGGTTAATATTAACACAACAACTGAAGACATAATGCTTTATTTATATATTAATCATGGCATAAACAGTAATATTCTTTGAACTTGATAAATATTCAGGGCAATAACAGAGCCATAACTTTGTGTTAAATAGTAAAATCTGGAAATGACAATGAGATGTATGCATACTACATAACTAATCAAGGGCCATAAATCTGAGTTATAAGTATCTGACTGAAACAAGGCGACTATATGCACATCTCCTCTTAGTATCCCATAAAGTTTCATTGAATTCTAGCCAGTAGTAGCAGAGAAGTAGCGAGGAAACAAATATTTTTCTATATGGATACTGCATAACTTATCAAGGGCCATAACTCTGAGTTAAAGTGTCTGACCGGAACAAGCCGACGATATGCGCATCTCCTCTTGGTATTGAAGGTTCCCATAAAGTTTCGTTGAATTCCAGCCAGTAGTTGCAGAGAAGTAGTGCGGAAACGATTTTTACTCCATATGCATATTGCATAACTAATCAAGGGTCATAACTCTGAGTTAAAGTGTCTGACCCGAACAAGCCGACGATATGCGCATCTCGTCTTGGTATTGAAGGTTCCCATAAAGTTTCGTTGAATTCCAGCCAGTAGTTGCAGAGAAGTAGTGTGGAAACGATTTTTACTCTATATGCATACTACATAACTAAACAAGGGCCATAACTCTGAGTTAAAGGGCCGGACCGGAACAAGCCGACGATATGCACATCTCCTCTTGATATTGATGATTCCCATAAAGTTTCGTTGAATTCCAGCCAGTAGTTGCAGAGAACTACTCCGGTAACGAAATTCGGATGGACGGAAGGACAACGCCAAAACTATATCCCCCTCCCGATTCCATCGGCGGGGGATAATAAATATTTATAATCAACAATACTTAATTATCATATTAACAGATGATTTCTTTGATAGATTTTATATACCGGTACAAACCTATTGTATATTTTTCTGGCTTGGTCAATTCCATGTTTGAGGTATTCATACTCCAGGTAGAGATTCTTGGCTGGTGTGCTCACTTCTGACCTATCAATCATTGATTTCTGAAATAATGAAAACCATATCGCTATTACAACACTGAAATCTATGTTATTATGCTATTACAGTATTGCATGAGGGAGGCAACTCAATTAAATTAATTTAAACTTTATAGTACTACTTGTTTCCCTTGTATAGTAATACAGAAATAATTTGTCACAGGCTGTAAGTTGTATACTTGTGTTTTAGGATTGAACTAAAAATGTGCTCAAAGGAAACATATGTCCCAACATTCCAATGTTTTGTAGGTCTATGGACAGACTGCATGAAGAGAAGTAGGGGGCCATGTAACTGTAAACAAAACAAAAGAGAACAATAAAGTTCATTCCGTAACAATAGAATAAGGGGCCACGGCCCTCTATAAAACAAAAGAAAATAACAAAAGAAATGGCCCCTTAGTCCATTTAAATGGCATATGTCCGGGTAATCTATGTGCACATAAGTAGTTGAGGCATAAAAATTATGATGAAGCATAAATTGTTCTCAGAACACAATGGAAAGGTCCAATACAATAATTTTATCTCCCCATAAAATAAAAGTAGCCTTGAGCATAAATCATAAACAAAATACATAGAGACTTTATCTGTATCCACCTTAAGCTAAATACCAGATTTATAAATACATTCAAAGTTTGTGAAACTTTTACCTCTAGCAGCCTGACAGTGGTATCAGCAGCATCTATGTTGATAGAGTACTCCAGGACTAGTTGAATCAGGGGCCATGTTTCCTGAAATATGCAAAATTCATAATATTTTCATTTTATTCTGTTTCAATAATAGTTTCATATAATGTTACTGTTGCCATTTATCTAATAAAAACTTTCAAAAGGCATTTCTTTCTAAGAAAACTTACCTGAGTGGAAAATTTACAATTTTATTATAAAGCAAGACAAAAATTACCAAAATTTCATCAATTTCAACCAGATTCAAAGTAAAATTCTTAGAGTAATGTCGGTTTATCATTTACATATCACTTATTATTTTATTCGAGATATTATACGCAAAGTCTCTCTGTGACAGGGACGAGTGTTAGCAAAATGTTCACTACTAAAGTTCAAAATCAGATAAAAATGGAAGACTTTTTTAACACAGGTTAATAGAAGAAGCATTTTCTTTAAGTTAGTAAAATTTAGCCATTAGTAAACCTGCTGTTAGTGGAATGTTCTTAGTCTTTGCCACCAGTATATAAGAGCCAGTCCAGCCTTCAGGTCCCTTAGGTCTGACTAGGTTCTATACTGTTGGTAGCAAAATTCATGTATTTTGATTATAATATTATTAATCTCTAAAACTTTGAATGCACTGTTCAAAATACAAAGTAGGCCAGAACCATTCCCCAAATTCTGCATCTCCCGGTTAGACACTCTAATCTCATAAAAGAGTAAATATGGTATATCAATAAATGTCATAAAACTGAGATTAAAAAAATGTTGTTTTTTTCCCCTTCTTTTTCAACCTTTTCTGCTTCTTTTAACCATGGTCCCTTATCTAAGAGGCTAAATTAATAATTAATAATCAATTTGGGTAAAATTTCCAAAGCTACCCTAATATTTCAGTATCGTATAACAATTTTAAATGACATCTAAATTTCCCCCGAAATTATACATGCAACATGACAAAAGGCACGAATTACAGCACCACTGTGCGCACTATGGCTGCGAAGTATGGCAAATTAAACACATTATAGATTTTATAATGAGGTATTTTTATAATCGTCATCGAGCCATTAATTATTCAAACCAAGTCAAACTATGGTCTTAATCAAGTGAAAAAATTTTATTACTATTGATTCTTCGGAATAAACAACATTATTTATTGTCTGTTACCTCAGGGTATGCCCTCACTAAGGAATTCCAGGTTTTACGACTTATCATTACTTTTTTAACGACCAAATTTTATGTTTGTTTTGTTTGAAATCTTCCCGTAAAAGGATATAAAATGCTTCTGTGTTCTCATCTAAGGTGGAAACTTCTAATTTCTCGCACACACATCAATGCCTAGTATGCAGATATCAGACTTTAACAACAATGGGAAATAAATATCGTTCCAATTGTTCCAAAAAACAACATTAAAAACTTGATTAATTTCAAAATTTATTTCTCTTTTTTTTTTGAGAAAACGAGCAACCGGGTTGTCTTAGAAACGTCTTGTCTTCACACAGCAGCTTTTATTCAAAAGTTCAGAAAAGTTTTAATGGTTAAGCCTTACTACGCATTATATCTTAAATGGACATATCCATTTTTCAATCTTGCCAAACAAATTCATTATTTTTAGGGGAATTTTCAAAATAGGTATCTATTGAATAGCAAACAGTGCAGACCATGATCAGATGGCATAGATGTGCTGGCTGAACTTGGTCTGCACTAGTCGCATGGGTATATTAAGTGCCGCCAAGCAGACTTAGGGCAAAATATCTACATGTGTACTTGTTAAAAAGGAAGGTATAGGTGACCTCAGTTTTCAGGAAGTAGTTAACATTCAGAATGCTAGTTGCTATAACAACCCGTCAGTAGGTAGTCAGCAGGTCAGACTGCCTACCGATCAGTATGTCCAACGGATATGACTAAATGTAAGCTATTCTACATTAAATTTTCAGTATAAAAACACCTTAATTAAAACAGCAATGAACAGTTCCAAAAATTTTCAAACAGGCGAAGACTATTATAAATGAGCCGCGTCACGACAAAACCAACATAGTGTGTTTGCATCCGCGCAGTCTGATCAGGATCCATGCTGTTCGCTTACCAACTCTATTACAAGTAGAGAAACTGATAGCGAACAGCATGGATCCTGATCAGACTTTGCGGATGCGCAGGCTGGTCTGGATCCATGCTGGTCACAAACCCATTATGTTGGTTTAGTCGTGACGCGGCTCAAATATTTAGCAGTGTAGGGTTTACAGACATGTTTGACAGCAGTCTGAAGTTCTCTGTATGGAGATGACATTATTTTGAGATAGGATGAAAATTCATCATCATAAAATGGCCTCTCAGGAGTTAATATATGGTCGCAATTATATCTCAACTATCATATGATTAACATTTAATTGTCGTAATTGATTCATATGTCATAATATATGTCAGTAGAGTATTGTCTGCTTAAAGCGACTTAAGTATCTCACTAAATGCATAACTCATTCACATTTCTATGGGGTTTTATTTTTTTGTAATACTCCACACAGAATGTACCAGATCAACTACCCAATGCTATAGAAAAGTTGTAAGGTACATTAGAAACTTTGTCTGAAAAACATGCATTTCACATTTTCATCAATTATGTAAATTGTATAAACTTGGGCTCGGATTTCAGGGCTTCATGTCAGTGTTTGACACAAGACAAGGAACCCTGTCCTCAAATGCTTGTATTTGATCAATTGATTTGTGTCAGCTGTCTTTCCTGTCATTTTCCTTCCTTTCCTGTCATTTACTGCTGAACCAGTCTACACAATAGAAACAGTCAGTTAAACCAGTCGATATAAAAGATTCAGAAGGGCTTTTAATTGAATTATGAGATCAGAATTACGATCATATTGAGATTATTAAAGCTTCTAGAATTTCCAACAGCTACTTAAAGCAAACAAATTACAGTTACGCTATTCATTACGTCCCTACTTTGATATTCAAAAGGAATTTTGAAGGGCTAAACGGCAGAAAAGTGCCATCTCCAATCACAGTCTAATCACTCAGCTTCAAAAAATTAACAGAAATTTAAATTTAGAATCAACTGATTTACATTCCACGCATGAAATTTAATCGTCCATTCTTAATTAACCAATTATCAAAATTGATGCATATTATGTAAAGTAAGCAGAAAATTAATGCATCAATTTCTATTCTAAAATTACATACGAATGTTAGTGCTAACTGTTTATTTAGTAAAATTTATACAAATAGGAACCCCCAAGGAAGCAAACTTCATCAAGCTGTAACCTTGGTGTTTTTTTAAAAAAAATTCACTTAATACATTTGAACTGGTTTTCAAACACAGGCGAGTATTTAACATTGAAAATGGTGCAATTTAAAGCAGCAATTACATCAAACTCTCCTGATTCTGCATTCATATAATCATAAAAGTACATGTCTGTATAGCTCATTTTCATTTTTTCAGTAAATGGTAAAATGAGAATAATTTCTTTCATAATTTTTTCTTGGATTAAATAATGTTTAAATGGTGTTTCTACCCGATGTTTTCAATTTCCCCTTGTCACAGACATCATATTAAGGCAAGGGGTTAATATATACATTCGCATGCCCCTGCGTACTTTGTCCCTAACTCTTTAATTATGAATAATTCGACTTAACATTATTAAATTACAAAATTGGTTTGTTTCTACACTAAAGAAGTGCATTCTTTATAAACATGAGTGATTTCATTGTCAGAAAATGATGATTAACACTAGCAGATGATGATTTTTAGTTTTACGCTAGACAACCATTTTCATTTTATTTTTAAAAAGCATTATGGTCTGATGTTAAACAATGTACAGTGGTAGCGATTTTAAAAGAAGAAGTTAAAGCAGGGATTATATTTTACAATATCGTTTTTAAATTCTTCAATAAAAAAGTATATGAGCCGTGTCATGACAAAACCAACGTAATGCGTTTGCGACCAGCATGGATCCAGACCAGCCTGCGCATCCGCGCCGTCTGATCAGGATCCATGCTGTTCGCTTACAAACCCTATAACAAGTAAAACAAGAGCACCGCGAGGCGGAGCATTATATGCCCGAAAGTATTTTTTTTTTAAGTAAGGATGACCTTAACCGTTGACCTTTTGACCCCTAAATCAATAGGGGTCTTCTTCCCAATATGGACAATCATCCTATGAAGTTTGAACATTGTGGGCCAAATGGAACTTAACATATGCTCCGGCAACTGTTTTCAGTATCAAGGTAATAGTGACCTTCACCTTTGACCTTTTGACCCCAAAATCAACAGGGGTCTTCTACCCAATATGGACAATCATCCTATGAAGTTTGAACATTGTGGGTCAAATGGAACTTAAGTTATGCGTGGAAACATATTTTTCAGTATCAATGTAATAGTGACCTTCACCTTTGACCTTGTGACCCCAAAATCAATAGGGGTCTTCTACCCAATATGGACAATCATCCTATGAAGTTTGAACATTGTGGGTCGAATGGAACTTAAGTTATGCTCTGGAAACTGTTTTCAGTTTTAAGGTAATAGTGACCTTGACCTTTGACCTTTTGACCCCAAAATCAATAGGGGTCTTCTACCCAATATGGACAATCATCCTATGAAGTTTGAACATTGTGGGCCAATTGGAACTTAAGTTATGCTCCGGAAACTGTTTTCAGTATCAAGGTCATAGTGACCTTGACCTTTGACCTTGTGACCCCAAAATCAATAGGGGTCTTCTTCCCAATATGGACAATCATCCTATGAAGTTTGAACATTGTGGGTTGAATGGAACTTAAGTTATGCTCTGGAAACTGTTTTCAGTTATAAGGTAATAGTGACCTTGACCTTTGACCTTTTGACCCCAAAATCAATAGGGGTCTTCTACCCAATATGGACAATCATCCTATGAAGTTTGAACATTGTGGGCCAATTGGAACTTAAGTTATGCTCCGGAAACTGTTTTCAGTATCAAGGTCATACAGACCTTGACCTTTGACCTTGTGACCCCAAAATCAATAGGGGTCTTCTTCCCAATATGGACAATCATCCTATGAAGTTTGAACATTGTGGGTCGAATGGAACTTAAGTTATGCTCCGGAAACCGTTTTCAGTTTTAAGGTAATAGTGACCTTGACCTTTGACCTTTTGACCCCAAAATCAATAGGGGTCTTCTACCCAATATGGACAATCATCCTATGAAGTTTTAACATTGTGGGCCAAATGGAACTTAAGTTATGCTCCGGAAACCAAATTGCTAACGGACGGACGGACGTACGGACGGACATACCAACTTTTGATATTAAAGAGGTAAGTCAGCTCATAAACTACACCTGGACCAAAGTCCATAAGTAAAATCAGCTCATAAAATCAAAAAAATAGCTCTTAATTTGAATTTTATGAGCTTTTGTTCTTTATTTAACTACGGAATGAAGCTCATAAATATCAAATGTTTGCTCGGACGGACGGACGGACAGACGGACGGACAGACAGACGGACGCCAGGGGGTATAACATAATATGCCCTTTCGGGCATATAAAAACTGATAGCGAACAGCATGGATCCTGATCAGACTGCGCGGATGCGCAGGCTGGTCTGGATCCATGCTGGTCGCAGACCCATTATGTTGGTTTTGTCTTGACACGGCTCATATATATTTTATTCCCACACCCTGTTTAAACGTAGCTTAAAAGGGGCTGAAATTCAACCAGTACAAGTTATGTTACAATCTCATGTTGCTATAATGCAGTGCTATATAGATACCTCACTTTATATTAAACTGACACTTTAATAATTTCTATCCTAACCTTCAATTCCTTTTTCACTATGAACAAAAGAATAAGAAGTTTGACATGTTAAACGCAATGTCAATGCATACTACATGCAAGTGACATAAAAAATGGTCCATAACGCAAACAAAGTGGTTAACTGTTCTTTGAACCGTACATAAATCCTTCAGACATAATCCACGACTCAGCGTTGATCCGTATAAAGACAATATTGATAACGTTTGAAGAATCTGACAGTGTACAAGTGACAGTGACAAGTCTACGTGGAATTAACGGCCCCGTCTTTGAAACGATATTCTATTTCAGTATGATAATTATTCAATCACTTTGATCAAAAGCTTTCTTTGAGATTTCGATATTGAGGTAGTGTTTTATTTTCACTTCACTTTCGGGTGGTTTTAATTTTCAAACAAGCCTGTCATATTTTTTCCGCAAATGTTCTTAACAGTGTTTGTTCATCGATGAAAAGAACCTTCAGTTTAAAGGCAGAGATAACGCAAATATGGCTCTTCAAAATTTGACAAGTAGAATAATCAGGCCCTATATTATGTCAGGTTTAATATAGCTTCAATTCTTTTCAATACTGAAGTATTCTGTGTAAAAAGGCTATAAAAATAGCTAACAAATGTGAATTCAGGAAAAAATATATGCTCTTAAAACGAGTGCTATATATAAAGGGCCATTACCCTTTAAAGGTTAATAGAAGCAAAACAAAAAGAGCATAGTAAAATATTTTTACAGACATACATTTTGTAAAAGGCCAAGATAATATGGAAACTTTGACTAGATTTGTCTTGTTATGGAAGACCCCCTGTGTAATATCACAGGCAACACAGTGCACCTTGGTGGAACCACCAACCTCTGACTTTAGCATGGTAGAAAATTTATCCACTAATGAAATATTGGTAAACAGGTAGATACTCCCCATTATCTCTTTGACAAAATTACAACATGGTCTTTATACTTGAAAAAGTAGGCAATTCTTCATGACACCAATAATCTAAGATAAATGTCAATAATAAAGATGCTACGAGAAACAGTAACTTATTGTGACGGAAGGCAAGACAGACAGACAGACAGACAGACAAATTGTCAACTATATCCTCAGGCACAAACAATTTCAGGGAGCATAAAAAAGCACTGAATTCTGGGAAATATAAACTATTAGAGGTGTAGCCCTGAAATGAAGATGGACACACGATCTCCCATCTGATTGTTACACAGACAATTAGTTATTTTATGCCTCCCTTCAGGGACATAAAAAAGACAAATCAAAAGTTTACAATCAAATTAGCTAAGAGGTTTTATAGAAAAAAAAAGCCAAAAATGACATCTTACGTGACATCAAACTTGTGATAAAGTCACTCAAAATAAAAAACAAGGCAGTTTAGAAATGCCATATTTTTCTCAAAATGATGCCAAAAACTGAAAAATATAAAAAATCACCTTTGCAAATAAACAAAATTTGTACTAAGTCTATGCTTAAAATTTTAATTCAATAGACTTATTCGGGAATTATGAATATTTTGGGTTTTTCCAGCTAATCTGGGTGTACAAACAAACTTTTATAGTTACAGCTTCAAAAATAAGCGCAATGTGTTGACTTATTTGTCAAGAACGGTAAAAGTTTGTTTGTACTGGGGGATTAGCTTGGAAAAACCCACATTTGCCTAGTTCCAGATGTCAACTATTCTAATATGCAGTTATTTTCAGAAATTACAAGTAATGTGGTTTTTGAATATCCAATATTAATTACAACAAAAAGGTTAATACCCAAATTATATCATGCTCCTCTTAGTTCACTGTACTTAATGCTTTGAAACCAGAAAGTAAACAACAAATGAAACTAATGGTACAAAACTTGTCATAAGCTATAACATAAAGGTATTTTCTACTGTATGGCACAAGGAAACAACAATATATTCAGTCAAAGTCAATTTTAATGGACCAAACATCGACGGTCATATGTCGGCCATTTTGAAAACAGTATGTCATTTAAATCTCAGTATTGGTGTTACATTTCAGTTTTTTCATGTTTCAGTTAAAATTTCTACATGTTATTTTGCTTGATTTTAAATATTGAAATTATCCTTACTTTGTAACTCAAAATTTATTTTTTCAACAAACAAGAACATTTAGAAATGGTGATTGTATCAGACATACGCACAAATTTAATGGACTATTGTTGCTTTTTGCAGAAATTTGTAAAATGTTGTTCTGTTTTACGTAAAAATCTAAAGATTTAAAATAGTTTGCACAAAAACTTTGAAGTATAGCTGTATGTATAAAATATGTCAATTCTGATCAATTTTAACATTGGTCAGAGTCATGAAAATATGCCTTTACCATGAAATAAGTGATGTGGAATTAGTGATGTTGAGTATATATATCTTAGGGAATCTTATAAAAACCTGCTGTACTAAATTTATTAATATATTAATATAAAAGTTTAAAAGTACTGGTATATGATATTCTATTTCCATTTCTTTTATTGCTACACAAATAAACAAGTATGAATAATGCAAAAACAGTAAAAACAAGAGCTGTCCGTAAGACAGCGCGCTCGACTTTTTTATTGCTTGCCAATAAAAAAAGTTTTTGCAGTAAAAGGCAATACAAGAATCTCTGTATTTTTAAAGTGAACAATGGCCATGAGCATTAAGATATTTAGTGAAGAATTATTTTACTGAATTGTGTGATACCCTTGAACACTGCAGCAAAGTTTGAAATGTTTAAGTCAAAAGAGGGCTGGTAAGAAAGAAAAAAAAACTGAGTTGAGCCTTAAATAAATTTAATAGTATTAAACCCACTTTGAGAGAATAAGGTATTTTTACGTCACTCAGAACACCTTGGTAAATGACATAATAACATAATTTTTCAAGAAATCTATGCCAAGGAAGCAGTATATTTTTGTACAATCAGCATAATATATAGATTTGACTTTGTATGTGAAAGTATTATAGTTACCTTATAATACAAGTAATAGATAAATTTTATCAAGCTTTTTTAGATGTTGTCAGTTGGTCACAAGTGGATCTCTTTCACACAGGCTGTGGGTGACTGGTTACTTTTCGTGGGTCCACTATGTAGATAATGCGTTGTAAACTGATATTTGAATTACATGAAGGAAGTTCAATTCATTATTTAATGTCATGCTAAATTAAGGGCCATAATTCAAATAAAATCTTTGACAGAATTACCTTCTCCTGGACATGTTTGGGAATCATGATTGTAAACAAGTATTCCAACTTTCAAATTAATATCTCAAACAGTTCAGTCAAAAAGTGGACTGGTACTAAAAACTTAACCAAGATTCTAAGTCGATAAAAGGCCTTAATTTTTAAAACAAATCCTTGACAGAGTTACCTTCTCTTGCGTACAGATGGGGGTAATGATGTGAAATAGCATTAAAAGTTTCAAAGCAATATCTCAAAGGGTTAAGGCAATAAGTGGATTTTACCCATATTCAATGTATTTTCTAAGTCAAAAAGGGGCATAATTCTGTCAAAAACCTTGACAGAGTTATGTCCTCTTGTCTGTTGATGAAGGTCGTGATGGTAAACAAGTATGGTCAGTTTCAAAGCAATACCTCCAATGGTTTTGAAATAAAGTGAGGTGGTACAAAAAACTTAACCAAGCTCAATACACTTTCTAAGTCAAAAAAGGGCCATAATTCTGTCAAAAACCTTGACAGAGTTATGTACTCTTGTCTGTAGATGGAGGTTATGATGGTGAACAAGTATGGTAAGTTTCAAAGCCATACTTGTAATACTTCTGAAATAAAGTGGGGTGGTACGAAAAACTTAACCAAGGTGTGACGCCAACGCCAACGCCGACGCCGACGCCGGGGCGAGTAGGATAGCTCCCCTTTTCATAGAAAAGTCGAGCTAAAAAATCAACTTACCTTCTGTTTAAGAAGATTTTGTGCTTGTTTCAGGACTTCTTGGACCTTGTCCAGGGCCTCATTTCCCATTATCATCAGCGAAAGACATTTGTACCAGAGGTCACATGACTTAGGATGTGCCTCAACAGCTTCTTTAGACACATCTATAGCTTTATCTGGACTGCCAGTGTCACACAGCACATCAATCTGTCAATGTTTAATAATATTAACAATTAAATACAAGAGAGGCACAAATAAAAATAAGAGTATGAATACTTGAAAGTAAAATATTGGCAGTTCGAAGTTTAAACCTTATGCAATATGTCCATAGATTTTACAATTTTTTACAGTGGTTATCTTGCTACTATTCTCATTGGAAAGTCCCTCATTCTTCTGTGTACTAACAGTAGCCCATATTAGGCTTATAGTAGCCCATATTAAGGTGCATTACAACTTTACCCCTCTTTCAGGTATCAAACAACACCTGGGTGAAGTACATTGTATAGGGATGCAGAGTCAATTCCTTAATTCCGGAAATAAGCAGTGATCTTACTCAAGACCTTTCTATTCTAAAGTGTATATCCTACATGATTGACCACTGCTCTACTTAAGAGTTTCAATTAAATTTCCAACCACCAAATTCAAAGGTGGGCTGAGCAAAGACCAGACAGGCATAGATCAAAGATTTAAATTGCTGCAACCTACTGTATTAAGAACAAGTGAACATTCAAATGAATGTTCTGTCCCGGGCGGGACCTTGACCCATAAAACTTTGACCTTTGACCCCATTACCTCTTAGTCGAATTTATCAAAGTGCATGCACCTGGGAAATTTGGACCCTGTATGTAGAAGGACTTCGCTGTTAGCTATAATGTATATTTAATGTCTTTGTACGATTACATAACCTATAAATAACTCAAAAAATAAATAAATCAGATGCAATTCTGTAATCAATTTCACACCAGTCACACTGTTCACATCATTGTGAATTTTAAGTGCATGCGAGTGCATCTTAAACTGATTTTTTCACACCCTCTTAATTGACAGACCCAAGACATTACCATTCATTCTAAAGCCCACTAAATCCAATCTTAATTTGGCACGTGTTAAGTAAATGAGAGACTTCACAGTGCCTCGAGCAACTTCTCATTCCCTTAAACTACTTACACTGCCGAGAAAACTCTTTTTCAATTTAATTGCGAGACATAAATTGAAAGAAACAGACAAAATGGAGTAGTTGTCATGTCAACGAGAAATGTTAATTACGTATGTTCCCTTCATTACCATCTGTAACAAGACAGACATAATCGCTCTCAGTTCTTAAATGCTTCTTTCCCTCATCTCAAATACAACTAATCCCTCCCCAAGTAAGAAAATTAAACGGAAAAGACGAAATCCCAGTGTACCCCTGCTTAGATGCCGGATATTGTGATATTTTTCTTCAAATTGGTTTCTGCCAGACTGAAGCATTTCATTACAATTTTCTTTGGCACTAAAAAATGCCCGATTCAATTGGAAGTAAATGACATGAAAAACTGTCCCGACTGAGGTCTCCATAAATCGAGAGTAATCTGAAGCTTTTGTGGAGAATTTATTTCTCTCAACAATCCTTTATTCCCATTCTCCCCTGTAATTTCAACCTTGTTGGAGACTTTAGCAATACATTACTGCCGTTTTACAGCCTATCAATATTCTTTAAGTCACAATTTTCTCAGGGATGAGAGGACCGGAGGAGATATATCGTAGGGACGTAGGAAGTTCTAAGAGCACAGGACGTAAAATTCTCTGATTTGCCAATTTAACAGGCTATCTATCAATAAATAGCATTCCTGACAATAGTTTTTGCTGGCTTAGAAATAATTCAACATCTTCTGTTTGAGGAAATGAAAGCATTTACTATGATAGCTAGAAGATACATGTAATAAGAGAAATCAAAATAGGACAGCTTAAATTGTTTGTATGTATTTGTCTTTGGTAAAGGGCATTGCTATAAACAGCAAGATCAAAATTTGGAATCTTAATGACATGAACATTAATTCTTATAATTAATATGTTTGACAATTTGTAAATAAATTTTAAAACGTAAATTTAATGTTCAGATAATGAATACTTAAAAGAGACTGCAATGATGATTTTTTTTTATATGTAGAGACTGAAAATACATTCTCAAGATTTGTGAATATCTGGTGTAGGTCTGGGCAGAATTTCAGTTCATTCTTTCTGTCAATAATAATTATTTTAGTTGAAGAATGTGCAACATGACCAAAAATGAAAAGTATTTATAGCTTTTAAACACAAATCAGGCTAATAATCTCAGAAAAATCAATTTTCAATTTAATTCTGAGTATGTTTTATTAGCATTGGCATTCTTTCCATTTCAAGCAAAAATGATCAATGTAAGAATTTCAAAATTTATGTTTTGAGGCTTTTGGAGCTCAAAGATAATATGAAAATACTTTAAGGATAAATAACAAGTTACATCATTTGTTACATTAACCTAGAACTAATGGTTTAACTCAATGTGATTCTACCCCTAGGACAAGGGGCTTAACCCTGTCTGAATTCTATAAACTAAACTGTCTGGTTTATTTGTCTGTTTTTGTTTTTTTGCCATTATCATTATATTGAATTTCAGCTTTAGACAGTCTGAGGGATTAGAATGTAGAAAATCACCAAATATAGCCAAAAAATATAGGACCACTTCCATTGATATTCTGAGAAAGAAGTCAGATATGATTAAAGCATTAAGCTTAAAAAAGTGCAACATGTCAATTAAACAGGACAATTTTTTTTCTAAAAATTCAGTAGGCAATGAGGCAGTAACTGATCATATCAGAATGCAATTAGGGCACCCTCTCAACCTTAATTGGAACAAGTGAGGATTTGCTATGTTAAACCTGGATTAGATGAAAGACTAAAGAAGCCCTAAAGGTGAGCTTAGTACAAAGATATATCACAATGAAACCCTGCTGTATACTCAGCCCTTAAGCTGAAAGAATGAGTTTGCCTAGTTAATTTTGTGTACAAAATGTTCCATGAACTTTCAAAGCTTGCATGGTATTTCTTAGAGAAGTATTAGGTCCTGTTATTTTGAAAATGAAAGAAAAACAAGAAGAGTTTTTCCTATACTAACTTTTTTATATTAACTTTCATTCTATACTAAAATACTATGCCAGTATTTGCCCAGTTTCATGTACTCAGCCATCTATATTCCAGTGCAGACCAAGACCAGTAGGCACATCCTAATCATGGTCTGCAGTATTAAATATTTCAAAATTTGTCTAAATTGAAAGATAGACAAGTCAAGTTAAAGGAACACCACCAAGGTCCAAAAGCCAAGTACATAAAATTTGAATTTCTTGCATACATTAGCTGAGGCACTTTAAACAGACAGATATGCAAAAGATAATGAGAAATAAACTCAAAAACACATTTAAATCGTATTTTTGTGCTATTTCTAAACCAATTTTGGTGGGGCTGGGTCATTATTCACAACTGGAAAAACAGAGTGAGTGAATGATCTGAAATTTTGCACACAAGTTATTGGTCTAGACCTACATCAAATGGAACATTAATCTCGAAAAATTATTTCCAGTCCCATCACATCAAAAAATCTCAGTGGAGTCCCTTTAAGAAGTTCAGCAGGGTTCTGGTTAAAAATAAACATACCCATTTCAGATACAGGCTTGCTTCTAGATGGCCAGCATCTCTTGCTCCCTCAAACACAAGAAGAGTTCTCTGTAACCTCTGTAAACAGAAAACATATCATCAGTATAAATATGCCTTGATATCACTGCCACCATCAATCAAATCTATGTTTGCAGGGCCGCCATTCATCACCAATGTAGACACAAATCTTTATGTTTTATCATTGATATAATACTTTCCCTCCTCAGAGTATTTCCTTGATTTAAGACTTAATGAATATGGTTAATAGTTTGTAGAAAGATGCAGCTAAAAATAATTACCCAGGAATAATATGAATATCATTCTTAGCAACGAAAATAAAAACAACTTTTCCTAGAAAATTCTAGAAATAGCTAAATAAATGCTATTAATATTCGCACTTTGAACAATTTTCTCATGAATAATAAAAGCATTAAAAGCGAAATCTTTCATGAATTTTTTGGAACTATTATACCTTCTCCTCCTTTATTAATTACTTGTGTTTTTAATTTTAAATCATATGATAACTTTGCTGCTATACTGTTGTGCACCTTTTGTGCACCTTTTGCGCAACTCGGTGCATTAGCATGAGGATTTTAAGGATTTACATACGCTCATCCTTTATTAATAACTTGGTTTTTAACTTTGATAACTTTTGAAGCTTTATTGTTGCTAGAAGACCTTTTGTGTACTTCGTGGCATCATGATATCATGAAGGGGTCTTAGGTAGAACATAAGCTTGGGTTATAGCTTCCACCCAGTCATTTGATCTCTTATAGGTCCCGAGTTGGAATTGAAAACAAGACAACGATGGGCAAACAGTTATCAATTAAGATGGTAAGCTCAACAAAAAAGAAAATACAGCTAACAATTCACATGATATAAATGTCATTGCCCCTATAGATATTTAAAAGAAGGTTAAAAATAGGTCAGCCAAATTAGTAAGACAATTTACAAAAACAATAAAGAAGACCAGCACAAACATCAAACGGTATGTGTGTGGCCTTTTATTTTATCTTCACATGAAACAAAAACAAGAAACATGGCAATGCCACGAAACCAGGTTTTCAATTATCTCCATTGTAGATAAATATGTTGTATTTGAAATACAAATACAAGCAATAAACAATGTAACTATGTGCAATGTAAAACATGAATAATGTAGGAGGAATTGCCACAGAAGAAGTGTTCACTATATATTCTGTATAAGGAAAAAATATATTCTGTATAAGGAAAAAAAAACAAAGGGCCGTAATTAGGTCAAAAATTATCCAATTACAAAACCTCTACAATATGCGCCAGGGCACTTGATGATATGGCTTCTGTGAAAGTTTGAACAAAATCTGTTGAGAAATGTAGGACTAGTTCAGCACAGAAGAATTTGATCATTATATATTGAGGAAAAAAAACAAAGGGGCATAATTAGGTCAAATATTATCAAATCACAAAACCCCGACAATATGCGCCAGGGCACTTGATAACAAAGCTTCTGTGAAAGTTTGGTCAAAATCTGTTGAGAAATGTAGGAGAAGTTGCGCACTGTAGAAATTGTTCACTATATATTCTATATAAGGAAAAAAACAAAGGGTCATAATTACGTCAAATATTATCCAATCACAAAACCCCGATAATATGTGCCAGGGCACTTGATAACAAAGCTTCTGAGAAAGTTTGGTCAAAATCCGTTGAAAAATGTAAGAGGAGTCGCGCACAGAAGAAATTGTTCACTATATATTCTATATAAGGAAAAAAACAAAGGGCCATAATTAGGTCAAATATTATCCAATCGCAAAACCCGGACAATATGTGCCAGAGCACTTGATGACAAAGCTTCTGTGAAAGTTTGGTCAAAATCCGTTGAGAAATGTAGGAGGAGTTGCGCACAGAAGAAATTGTTCACTATATATTCTATATAAAAAAAAAACAAAGGGCCATAATTAGGTCAAATATTATCCAATCACAAAACCCAGACAATCTGTGCCAGGGCACTTGATGACAAAGCTTCTGTAAAAGTTTGGTCAAAATCTGTTGATAAATGTAGGAGGAGTTGCGCACAGAAGAAATTGTTCACTATATATTCTATATAAGAAAAAACAACAAAGGGCCATAATTAGGTCAAATATTATCCAATGGCAAAACCCCGACAATATGCGCCAGGACACTTGATGACAAAGCTTCTGTGAAAGTTTGGTCAAAATCCGTTGAGAAATGTAGGAGGAGTTGCGCACAGAAGAAATTGTTTACGCCCGCCCGCCCACCCGCCCGCCCGTCCGCCCATCCGCCCGCCGACATACCTTAATCTAATAACCAGTTTTTTCCTTCGGAAAACCTGGTTAAAAACCATATGTACAACATTTTATGTTACTTTTTCAACTTTTCAAAGTTGTTGGCAAAAGATGTTATCCAGAACAGGGCAAATGTTGGTTTTTCCCATCTAATCCTGGGTTACAAACATTAAGCTTCATGGTGCACTACTGTTCACAATACAATTATCATCGTATTGCACTTATTAACAATATACAAGTATCTATCAAGTTGTAACTGAAAGTTTGTTTGTATCCCTGGGATACAAAAACCCCACATTTGCCAAGTTCCCGAGTATCTATATTCTTGCATAGCAGACTGGCGTTTCTGTATGTTTTACTCATGCAGGAAATTTCATCTGGCATGGGGGGTGCCGGATAAGTCGCGTGCCATATAACAACGTCATTTTAGCTCATTTTATGAATGAACCACATTAAAATGACGTCATTTTAGAAGGGAACTATGTGCCTAGGATGACGTCATCATTATTACAGTATATATAGCAGTTCTCAATCTCCATAGCACTGGCTCAAGCAGCTTTCAATCTGCTGGAGTCAATGACACTGAAAAACCAGAAAAAATATAGAAGTACTGAAGTAAAGTACAAAAACCTCATATAAAGCCATAAACTGTCTGCAAGAGTTCAAACAGCTCGACCATGTAATTAAACATTTAACATTAAAACACCTTATTTATTATCAACAATGGACTTTTCTAAATTCAAAGGGGGAAGAGTCCATTTAACAAATTTTTATTGATATTTCCAAATTATTTAACATCAATAATTATATTAATGAGTTGGTGCAAAACTGTCGTAACTAAAATACAAAAATTCAGATAAATGCATGTATATGACAATATTGTACTAATCCCTGGGATTCTCGTTTGATAAATACATATTTACATATGGAGGGACTTTATTAAGTTCAATGTTATAATTAAAGCCAAGTTGTACAAGTAATTGCGACCAAAACCGAACAAAGAGCCATAAAACCGGCCTTTGTTAAACTCTGTTACAACAAATATAGTGTATTAATCTCTATATTAATAACATAGAATTAACTCAATACTTGTACCTCATTATTTGTAAAAATCACTTTACATCAAAGAAAGCAAGTACAAAGGATGAACGAGAGACCGATTTGTCAAAAACCTCATAATCGGACGAGATAGTTTAAGATTATACTTATAATTGGCGGATATTCGGGACGTGTTCACATTAAATTACAAGAACAGAAACCATCTATGAAACATTTAGCATAAATTACACCAATTTACATATGGTTTGATAGATGTTGTATACTTATTATACTTAATGCCTTCCGCTTACCTGGTTATAAAATTCTAAGTACATTCTAACCAAAATAACGCATGAAAAAACTATAAGAGTATTTAGTATTATTATAGATCTAGCACCCACTCAAAAGTTCTAAAGTTCTTAATTAACTATATTATTTATCAGAATGAAATTGGTGTAAAATATTACTAAAGGTTGGGTGTATTTAGCACAATTTTTTTTTCAGACGTATAAAATGAAGACGTACTTAACCAACTAACATAAAATGATAATTTGTACTGAAGATATCTCTTCATCATAACAAGTTTTTAATGTTTTATGTCAATATCTAACAAGTTCTTTGTGAGAGAAACATTTTTTTTTTTGTTTCAAACAATCTTCCCAGAATTGCTTTATTTCTTTTTAACTATCTGATAAAATAATGTAAAATTTAAATTGCTTTATTTCTAATTGCAAATAATATCCTAAAATGTATTTGATTTTTTAAATTTTAAATCAAGTTTCCTCTTATAAACTCTGATGTGTGGCATAATACATGGTCTAGTGGCTAAGATATTTGCCTTTTTACAAGAGGATTGTGGGTTCAAGCACTGCACTCTGTGAGTACAAGCAATTCTCAGATTAGGACCAGTTTCTGGCTATAGCTCCAGCGCAGAAGGTAAAAGAAATCGATATAAGTTGCAAGAACACCATAAAATGAACATGTTCAAACAAGTCTGATGAATATTCTAAGGTTAACAAGTGTAAAATGACCTTATCTTACAACATTATAATATTATTTTCACCTTAGTGCAGTAACGGGTTAACTCCTATTGAATATAATAGGTGTTAGCCTGTTACGGAACTAAGGTGAAGATATTTTCTTTGCATATTTGTATCAGCTGTAAAGATTTATTGATGATTTTACTGAATATGGTCCACTTTTTTGCAAGCCTAATTGATTGTTGGAGTTTTAACCGGGGATTTCATCAACTCAAGTCATAGTGTCAAGGTATCAAAATTCAAATTATCAGCTTACATGATTACCCATAGTAATTGCTATAATTATTTATTTTTTTGTATTTATAAATGAACAAACATATTGAAAGGCGGCCATTATTAGATCAATACCTATCAGTTTTCATGTAACAATTCAGAAAATGTAGCCACCCTGTCTCACAGCTCCATTAACGTATAATTAATTAATCTAATTGTTCTTCCGTTAAAAATAAATTAAATTCTTAAAATATTAATTGTCACTGTTGTCAAACTTCATATGAACAGATAAACCCAAAACAAATTTTAATTGTTATCATAAAGGGGCAGCCATGGCATTGTGGTTAAGCTATTTGCCACTTAACCTAGGCTTTCTGGGTTCAAGCCCTACTGGGGTCATGAGCAAGACTATTTCCTCAGATCAGATCTGTGCCATCAGATCATGGTCTGCACTGATACCTATTCGATCAGAACTTATTATGAAATTTTCCCTAAAAATGATGAATGGTTTTGTCTATGATAGAAGATGGACAAGTCCATTACAAAAATTTAGAATGGTAAAGGTAAGTAAGCAAACAAATTTGATATAAACACTTTTCTGGTCAAGAACGGGATGTCCAGCAAGAGTTATATATAGGACTTGTGTCAATACAAGACAATTACAGTTAGAATCATCATAATAAATAATTCAACATCCAAGACAACATAAATACTGTAACCCAATTTATATTCGCGAATACAAATTTTCGCGTTTTGCCGAGGTCGGACATATTCGCGAATATTAATTTCCGCGTTTTCTTGATTTCCGAAAAGAAAATTCGCGGATTGGAAAGTCCGATGGGACCGTAAAATCCATTAACCGACTATTAAACTTCAATAATTGAGGTTATTATTGGTGTCTTAAATGGGATTAACAATACGCTAGTCTTATATTGTATTGGTAAGTGAATTGTGATCACAATTCAGCAAAACATTTTCTCTATATATGTACATGTACGCATCGTTCGTCTTCATTTCTAAACGTGGATGTTTATTTTGATTGCTATATTGACATAGAGTTCCTTTGATATTTATAAAATAGTAGTAGTTACTTAGTTTGTGTTTTTATTGCTTTATGGCAATATTCATAACAATTCATTACTTCCTAACAGGTGCCCGTATAATTCGAATATATCCGGTCAAGTAGCTTTGCATGAACAACGTCTAAAATAAAAATTTCTCTCCAATTTATTCGCGAAATCGTGCGGACTTATTCGCGCAAACAAATATTCGCTCTTCGTGGCCATCCGGGAATAAAGCGAATATTAATTGGTCGCGAATATTCGTTGGGTTACAGTACTTCATAATCCTGTTTGTTTATATGATTGGGTTTTATCACATCAACACAGTATAGATCATATGGCGATGTACCAGCATTACTGGTGGAGGAAGACCTCAGGTGCTCTTTCATGCATAATTTCAGGCACAAACGGACACCAGAATAGAACCACCAACGTTCCTTATCAAAGCTAGCTGGATAGCTCTCGCACATGAAAGAATCCAAAGTCCGTGTAGGGATTTGAACCCACAGCAGGGAGGGGCAATTGGTTTGAAGTGAATGACCTTAATCACTCGACCACAGATGCCCGAACACAACATAAATACAAATCAAGGCAAGTACATATACATGATATAGGGGCCAACAATGAATCACTCGCTCAATCAATAAATCAAAATGTGATGCTTATAATAATTTGATTAAAACATGGTAATGACTTTACAAATTGCAGGAATAATGTAAAATTGTCATGTCAAGGTAATGTTACATTCAAATTGAACAACAGTCAAGTTCTTATATTACAAAACTATTAATCTAAATGAATTAATTCTGAATTAATTGATTAAGAATGCCTTTTGCTTATAATTAATCATACAGACTTCTGGTGCCCCCCAGAAAACGAACTGCTATAAACTTAATACGGTAGGTAATTTCCATAACAGTTTAACTGCTTCTTGTCATGCAATCTGCTAATAAATTCAATAATATTATATGTTCTCGCATGACGTTAATTCAATTAACAATGAAGATATGCACTGGCCATTAACTGCGAGGTATGAAACCTTTGACCAAACAAAAAGTGCTATTTTTCCTTGAAAAGAAAAAAAAACAACAATGAAATCAAGTTTAGTTTTAATTATAAGATGAATACCGAATGTTTGATAATCAATTTTGTAATAAAATGACATAAAAATTTAATAATCTTTTTACCAGGAAAATATAATATATTAAAAACTGATTTAGAACTGTGTACATGTACATGACTTTGAACAACTTCAGTCTGTATGACATAGGTAAATTTGTCTTATGAACTTGACCATCATAATCCATCTAACAGGACAAAACCATTTAACATATTTGAGAACAATTTAAATGTAAGTACTGACTGAAAAGAAATAATTGCCATCCATGACCAAACGGGACGGCACAGATGTGTTGGTGGATCTTGGTCTTGGTAGAGATGTGTTGGCTTATCCAGTCACGGCCAGCAGACTTAGCTTAATATATTGTTTTATTTCATATACAGTCTTACCTGTTTCTTGATGGAATTTTTGGCATTCTTCTTCAATAGGTCCAGGCATGCTGTGATATATAAACTCCATATCTCATCTGAAAATATACAAAATAATAAAAATTTATTTTAGGTTTTCTATCAAAATTTTAAGTCTTTTTGAAAATTATCTTCTCTATATTAACCACAGACTCCCCTCCACTTTTATGTTGAGAGTCAATGGAATTTAACATATTTCCACATAATCACAATCTTTTGAAACCATGTGCTGCAAAATTATGGACTCTGTGCTTTTCAAAAATTAATGCATCCACCAATGTTCCATAAGTTTGCTAGATCGACTATTGAATACTAAGCTACATAATAAAATGGCTCCAGTTTATTTTTTTTCAATTTTTTTTTTTTTAAAGTCAAACTTAGAAAAAGAACGATAATAGAGACTTAAGTTCTTGGCAGACCATGGGCACTATTTCAGGTAGAAATTAGTCTTGCTTATACCTGAGTAAAATCAATAATATTTCTTCATTAAACCAAAAGTGATCAGCCTATTCCAGCAGTAGAGCTGCACAACCGTTGGTATCTCAATTGTAAACCATTAAACTTTGAATGGACTGTTCCAATTTTAAAGCAGGGCAAATCTATTTCCCAAATACAACAGGGCAAATCCATTGAACAAATTAAGCAGGGCAAATCCATTTAACAAATCAGGCAGGGCAAATTCATTGAACAAATTAAGCAAGGCATATTCATTGCACAAATTAGGCAGGGTAAATCCATTTAACACATTAAGCAGGGCAAATCCATTGAACAAATTAAGCAGGGCAAATCCATTGAACAAATTAAGCAGGGCAAATATATTGCACAAATTAAGCAGGGCAGTTCCATTGAACAAAGCTAGGTAAAACTTATAAAGCTTGACTGAATCTCTTTGTCATCAAATTTGCTGCATTTATACATAGCAGCAGACCACCCTTATTCTCGAAAAGTCATTTCATGTCAAGCAACGATATAAATGCAGAAATTTTGTGATTACACTGCATTTCTTTTTTTCATAACAACTTTTGTCCAACATATTTCCTGAATCTTTAATTCTCAATATACAGATTATAAATGATGTAGAACCAATTCAATAAAGGCAAGATAAATATGGCCAGACAACCTTCTTAAAGGAAAAAAATAGCTAGATACACATACAGACTTGATCCAGGATATCTGAAAATTACACTTTGGCAATTCTTGTAAATTGAAATGTCTGATTTACTGCAAATATATAGATAAATGGATGAAAAAGTATCTTAGAAGAATTGTTTAGAAAATAATGATTCTTGAATTAAGAACCTAGGCATTTTCAATGGTTACCAATTTCATAAATTTCTAAGCAAAATCCCATATAAAATAAGCCTTAGTCATCTTAAATGTGGGATAATTTGTTATTGGCAATAAAAATATAGATCTTTTTACTTAATACCTTATGGTTGACAAAATAATAAAAACTGTTTCCGGAGGTCTTGCAGACATAGAAATACATACACATAATACATACACATTTACATTTCAATGTTTACAATTTTAAAGTTGAAATGTTGAATTAAAACTGAAATTAATCAAGTTAAAATAACAAAAAAAATAACATCATTTATTTTAAAAGCATTTTTTAATGCTTTAATCTATCTGACTCCTAACTTTTAATCACATGCTCAGAATATTAAGGAAGTGGTCATATGTGTTTTTTTGGGGGGGTTTTTTGTGATTTTTTTGCTATATTGTGGGATTTTCTACATTCTAATCCGTCAGACTAGACTGTCTTAAGCTTAATTTTAATATAATTGTAATGGCAAAAAACAAAACAGACAAATAAACCAGACAGTTTAGTTTATAGATTTCAGACAGGGTTAAACCCCTTGTCCTAGGGGTAGAATCATTTTGACTTGAACCATTAGTTCTAGGTTGATGATTGCATTTTTCCCAGCAGAAGACAAACACAATTATTCCAAAACTTTCCTATTAATGGCATATTTTGTTTGTTCATGCTGCAGTTGAAATTGCTATAACACATGGCTGGCCAGGTGCTCTTTGACATTTCTAATTAATTGCTGAATTAATTTCCTCTCAACAGCACAAAACTTTCCCTTTT